TTCATCCCCACATCCAGACCATCATGGGGTCTGTGGTCCCCATGTCATTTAGTCCAGATTCAACCGTGTTCCATCCCCACCTCACTCCCTCCCTGCTCCACCAGCTCCTGTGTCGCCCTGCGGGCTGTTCTTCCAGCAGAGGCCAGTGGGCACCTGTGTCCCCTGTGTGCTCAAGAACTTACATGGCAGACTCCTTACTCTGAGTAAAATAGGGTCCTCCCCATGGCCCACAGGCCCGATATGACCTGCCCTGTCACCTCCCTGCCCTAACCGCCTCCCTTTCTCCCTCCCTCTGCTGGAGCACCTTGGCCTCTTTCCTGCTCCACACAGGAGCCAGGCACTGTACAGCCTCAAGGCCTTGTGATTCCCCTCTCCCCAGATGTGCATGGCTGGTTCCCTCACTTGCCACAGGCCTTGTGCTCAGACACCTTTCTCAGGGAGCCTGTCCCTGGCCAGTTTTGTCCATTCTCACATCCTGTTTGGCTCCACAAGTCTTGGTGGTAGAACAAATGGCTGCTGTGTGTCCCTGTCCCTGTGCTCCCTGCTCTCCCAAGCATTCAGACAAGAGTGCAGATTGTGCGGCTTGGTTTTCTTCTCCACTGTGTCCCTGGACTCAGCACCCAAGATGTCGGGGGAGGAAGGACGCAGGTGAGGAGGAGGGAACGCACTAGTGAACTCGGGGCAGTGCTCCCAGAGCAGCAGAGCCAGGCTTGGGGCTCTTCCATGGCCCCATCCTGTACCCGAGCTGTCATCTTGACACAGGCTTTGTGATTATGCTCTGGCCAGCGGCAGCAGGCACCCTTCCAGCCACAGGAGTGGCCACGGCCATTAGAGGGCAGTGGAGAGCAGCCTCCCTGCCTCTCCTAGCTCAGTGTATCTGCTGCTGATTGGGTTCAGGTTCACTGCTGCCAGCTGGGTGGGGAAGCTTGGCACCAGCCCTCTGGCCTGGGGCCCTTCACCGCCACCATGGTCAGGACTCAGGAGACCCTAGCCTCCACCCCCTTGTGCAGTTGCATTGTCTCACTGTGTAGCCCAGGCAGGCCTTGAACTTGGGATCCTCCTGCCTCCGTCTCCTGAGTAGTGGGATGACAGGCATGGGCCGTCATCCCTGGCTCAGTATTTATTCTTAGTAGAATTTATGCTAGATTGGCAATATTTATGTATCTTTTGCTGTTGTTGTTATCTCGTCTTAAGGTAGGCCTGTGAGGTAGCAGATGGGAAAAGCCCACTTTGTAGATGGGTAACTTGTCCAGGGACTCTCATCCTTGTCTAGGGGCTTCATCCAGCTGAAGTGGCAGGCCTGCCACTGGCCCCCTTGTCCTCATTCTCCTTGTGAGGGGGTCTCACATAGAGCCACCTCCAAAGGCCCAGGTCGTGCAGAGTCTGTTAGCATGTTGGGGTTACCAGCGAGGGTCACCCCAGCTTTTCTGGGAGCCAGGGCCTGCATGGCCTGATCCTTGCTCTCAGGGAGGGGAGCTGCAGAGCCAGGGAGGAAGGATTGGGGCGCAGGTGTGGGAGGTTGGCTGGTAAGGCTCCCTGTGCTGGTTGCCAGTCTTTGCTCTGGGGTCTGTTGGCTGGGCAGGGCTCCGTAGGGAAAGACCTGGGCTCTGACAAGGTGCTGGCGGTGCAGAAGGGGCTTCCGGCCTAACCTCTCCAGGGGTTTATTGAGCCCTGTTCTGGGGGCCGGGAAATGTCCCAGCCCAGGAAAGCTCCCACCCTCTCCAGTGGGGGCAACGGGTAGTGTCTGAGGGCCGCTATTTCATTTTAATTTTTTTGTGGTACCAGGGACTAAAGCCTGCAGGGTATCAGAGACCTGAGGGATTGGGCGAGCGGGCTGGTGTCTGGGGTGGAGGGGACAGCCGGTGCAAGGGCCCCGTGTCTCCCCAAGTTTCCTGGACGCTCGAGATTCCTCCTGTGCCTGTGCCCTGCCTCCCGCTCAACGGAGATGAGAGGACTGGAGCGTCTCTTCCTACTGCTCTGTCCTCCATCCAGTCCTTGTCACCAGACAGGGGTAGGAGGAGCCCTGCCACCTAGTGGTGGTTCTGGGTAGGGGCGGGGACAGGGAGGCTGAAGCTTGTCGGTGTTCCCCCACAGGGGGCTTCAGGCCACCCTTTGTTTTGGGTCCTGTCCCTTGGCTGTGCCCTGACCTTGGGCTAGCACGAGCTGCTGTTGGCCAGGCCCTGGAATCTCGGGCCTCTGGGTAGAATTCCTCCCAGGCTAGTGGAACTGTCATTGTTCTGGTGCCAGGGTTGCTGCCTTTTTCCTTGTCCTCTGCCCATCCATTGTGTCTGCAGTCCTGGCTTGCTGCCAGTGTGGGGACCTCGCCAGTGACCCTTTCAAGGGCCTCTTTTTATCCATCTGTCTATCCGTGCTGTCTTGCCCCTGCCTCTGCTTCCTGCCCTGGCTCCCTGAAGTTGGCCTTCCGCTCCTCCCCACACTGGCCTGAGCTGCTGTCCGCCCTTGTGCTCTGCAGCCCCTGTGTGGCTATGCCCAGCAGCTGCCTGTGCCCTCTGACCCCAGGCCTGGGTGGGGGTGTGTGGGGCAATAAGACAAGACAGGAGTTAGGGAAGTGCACTGTGAGGCTTCCAATTTAGGCCTTCAGGGACTGGCGGGGGGTGGGGGGGCTCTTTTTGATAGCTAGTTGTGACTTGTTTGCCCCTCCCCCACACCTTAAAAATAATTTGTTGGGGCTCAGTGGTGGAGTGCTTGCCTAGCATGTAGGATTCCATCCCCAGAACCACCAAAAAACATTTTGGTTAAGTGAATTCACACATCTACCAAGCACTTCAAAGTGAAACTCAGTGCTTTTGGGCATTTTGTGGGTGCTAGCCACCACTCCTCTGCCCAGTTCCACCACCAGAGATTCATCACCATGAGAGGAGCCATCACACCCCCACACCCATAGCTACCACCCATCTGCTCTGTCTCCCATGGACGCATTGTATAAATATGGGACCCCGTGCGTCTGGCTTTTTCACCCAGCCGACCTGTCCCGTCTAGCATAACTTTTATTGTACTTTTTGTTTTGTGGCGATTAGACACACAGGGTGCAGAGCCCCTGGAAACCCCTGGGCCTGTCTGAATGAGAGAAGATATCCCTGGGGCCCTGGCATACCTCTGTGGGGCGTGGGTGGCTCCTCTTCTCTGTGGCGTGGGTGCTGCAGCTTCGGCTCTGACCGTGGCCCCTCTTCGCACTGCCCTGTTCTCTCCAGCCCCGACGGCTGGCCCTTTCCCTCCCAGGCTCTGGTGATGTGCCCAGGCTGGGGGAGGAGGTAGGATTTCAGTCCTCCCCCAGCAGCTGGCCAGTGGGGAGAGGGGCTGGTTGTATTTTAAGCTGTTGAGTGGTTCAGCAGGAACTCGGAGGCCTCCTCTCCCGGTGGACGCTGTGCCGCCTTCCCGTGGGCCACAGGGGCTTAGGCATGTGGACACTGCCCGCCTGGGTCCAGGAACTATTAATATACCTGCAGCCTCAGGCAGGCCCTGGGCCACGGCCAGTGTGTTCCTCCTGCGCCCCTTCCCTCTCACTCATGTCTCCTTACTGGGACCTGATTGTTCCATGTGGTACCTACCACCAGCTCCTTCTTTCAGGCCGTCCACGTGCCAGCTCCCTCTCTTTGTCCCTGGGAGGATCTGGTCACCTGCCCTGCCTGGCCACAGAGCTGGGCAGAGCCCAGTGTGCACAGCAGGTGGCATAGGTAGCATCGGCCAGGACTTCCTGGGGGCCTCCTGGGGGCCGTGTGGATCACAGACGAGCCCACCTGTACAGCTGGCCGCCTGAGGGCCAGCAGCTGAACCCAGCCTGGGCCCTTTTGCAGTGCTGCCTCACTGGGGAGGGCTGCCTCCCACAGCCCCCAGTGTCCGTCGCCACTCAAAGTTCTGGCTGCTTCCCTCCTGCCAGGAAACGGGATTGATTCACCTGGGGGACCTTCACAATCCAGGGGTTGGATATCTTTCTCCCTGCCCCAAGCTGAGGCTTAGAGATGAGGCGCCTCACGGGTCATCCGGCTGTGGGGCAGGGCTGGGCCCAGGTCTCCGCACGGCTCTGCACACACCCTGCCTCTGCTGTGTGCAGCTGTGAGTGTCTTACCTGTGAAGCCCTGTCTTCAATTGGGAAGAAGGGGTTGCCTCATTGACTCAGGCCCAGGGAGGCACCTCATCTCCAAGCCTCAGCTTGGGGTCTGTGTTGGTTGCACAGGGCCCTCAGGCCTTTCCTGGCTCTGGCAGCCTCTCCAACCTTCGGGGTAGTGGCTTAGATCCTCAGGGCCCCCTTACTTCCAATCCTGCCCCTGCCCAGCTTCTCCCTTGGGAACTGTAGGCCCAAAAGCTGCAGGCAGGCTTCTGGCAGGCTGCCAAGTGGCCAGGGCTTTGCAGGGCTGAGGGCCTGGATGAGCCAGTGATGCTGGCCCCACAGTGGGAAGACAGCTACGCAGGTGGCCTTGAGTGCGGCCTGGGCAGATGGTGAGAAATGGGTGGTGAGGACCATCAGGGAGGTGGAGGGCTGAGGCCACTTATCTGAAACTGGCCTGCTCCCTGGTTCTTTCCACATGGAGGGAGAGGCTCTCACCAATAACTCTGGAATCTGTCACCTCCTCGGGAACACAAACACACAAGGAGAATAATCCCAAGTGTCTCTTAGAGCTCAGAAGGGAAATGGATGGTCTCTTGAGGATTCTCAGAATAGCTGGGCTTTCTCCAGGCCTGGGTCTGAGCTGGGGGGCCTCACCCAGCTGGCTGCTGGCTCTGGGCCCGCCTCTCTAGGCAAGTTGGAACTAGGTAGTGCCTCCTTCCTGCTCCTGGGGCTCTCCCATGTCTACTCAAAAGCCTCCTTCAGGGCATCCTGGCTCCCGGGGGCTGGCTCCAGCCCCCCCCAGAGGACAGTTTTATATATAGCCAGGTCGTGCCACTCGGGTTACGCCTGGCATTACAGCTGGCAGTGCCAGGGCAGGCGCGGGCTCCCTTCCAGCACCACGGCAGAATTTGATCGCCAGGCTCAGAGCCATTCCCTTCCCGTGGGGAGGTCAGAGGTGGGGACTGTCGGTCGGCAGCTGGGGCTGCAGTCCGGTGGGCAGGACTGGTGGCGGCGGCATGGACCTCAGCTTGAGTATTGTGGCCCGGGACGCCAACCAGGGCCTTAGCCCTGGCCTTGGCCTTGATGGCCTCCCCCGGCCCCCGCCCCCCAAGGCGAAGAAGCATAAAAAGGCTGTGCTCTTTTTTGAGGTGGAGATTCTGGATGCGAAGACGAGAGAGAAGCTGTGCTTCCTGGACAAGGTAGGACCTTGGCTCCGGTGGGCTGGGCCCACCCCATCCTTCAGAGGGCACAGAGGGGCACCACCTCCCTTTGGGGTAGAGAGGGAAGCTGTGGCCCCTGGGTGTGGCCCCTGTGGCTTCCTGGCAGGGAGAAGCCATTGGGCCCTGCAGGATCTCAGGGTCTGGGAAGGAGGTGGAGGACTGAGGCCAGCTCTGAGAGGGGAGGGAGATTTGGACCCCACTGAGGGCCTTCACCCTAGGGGCGGGCGGGTGGGGGCAGAGAGGAGAGGCAGAGAAGCTGTAACAGTGGGACATGGCTAACCTCTCTCCAGGAGCTCCCGCCCCGGGCTGTTCCCAGCTGGCAGGGCTCTTGCTGGCCTGGCCATGTGGTAGTAGCCTGCACCTCCACACCCCCTTCCCAGAACAGGCCAAGGTCCTCCCTCCTCTCCTCCCTCCTGGGTCCTGGGTCTGGGCTCCCCTAAGGCCAAGATCCCACCGCCTCCTTCCCCAGGTGGAGCCTCAGGCCACCATAGCTGAAATCAAGAATCTCTTCACCAAGACCCGTGAGTCCACCGCCGCCATGCTGCCCTGCTTTCCTTGACTCCTTTGGGCAGAGGCCCCAACCTTGTCCTGGCGCCTTCAGAAGCCGCACAGAGTTGCCGGGGTGGCCGGCTTCCCTGGGAGTGATTGCCATCGCAGGAACACCCTTGCTGGGCTTTGGGAAGGACAAAACCCTGCTCTGCTGTCCCTGCCGCTGGCCGTGCTGGAAGCACGCAGGCCTTTCCCAGGATGGGAGGAGGGTGGGCGGTGGGCAGGCTGTGACCCCTCCGTCCTCCCTGTAGATCCGCAGTGGTACCCCGCCCGCCAGTCCCTGCGCCTGGACCCCAGTGAGTACAGCTGTCCCGGGGTTGGCAGGGGAGAAGGCCGGGGCGTTCTCCCTGAACCCCGGCTCGCCTCTCCGCAGAGGGCAAGTCCCTGAAGGACGAGGATGTCCTGCAGAAGCTGCCGGTGGGCACCACGGCCACACTGTACTTCCGGGACCTGGGGGCCCAGATCAGCTGGGTGACGGTGAGCCGTGACTCCACCCCTGCCACCGCCTTCCCCTGCCGACCGGCGACCAGGGTGCTTCACCTTGCCCCTCGCCTGCAGGTCTTCCTGACGGAGTATGCAGGGCCCCTTTTCATCTACCTTCTCTTCTACTTCCGGGTGCCCTTCATCTACGGCCACAAATACGACTTCACGTCCAGCCGGCACACGGTGGTGCAGTGAGTGGGGCGCGGAGGCGGGGCGGGAGGGGGGAGGGTGTGCTGCCCCAGCTAAGCCGGCTGTCCCCCAGCCTCGCCTGCATCTGCCACTCGTTCCACTACGTCAAGCGCCTGCTGGAGACGCTCTTCGTGCACCGCTTCTCCCACGGCACCATGCCGCTGCGCAACATCTTTAAGGTGAGAGCCCCCAGCCCCTGCGAGCGCTCCTGTCCCCCCACCCCCCCGCCCCGCCCCCCAGAGCTCCACCCACCAAGCCCCGCCCACACCGGAGCTCCTGTGGCTCTCGCAGTGCCCTGCTCACACACAGCCCCAACCTGCTGAGCCCAGCTCTGTGTCCAGGACGTCCCATCCTTTTCCTCCTCTCCTTTTCAGAACTGCACCTACTATTGGGGCTTCGCCGCATGGATGGCCTATTACATCAACCACCCTCTCTATACGCCCCCCAGTAAGTGGCCTCAGACCGCCCCCCCACGTGAACCCCCTCCCTGCGAGTCTCCCCTCACCGGCCTCCCCTCCCTGCTTCCTCTTCAGCCTACGGAGCCCAGCAGGTTAAACTGGCGCTGGCCATCTTCGTGGTAAGGAGGCTGGGGCGGCGTGGGGTGGGGTGGGTGGGGTGAGGCTGGGGAGCGGGGCTGAGCGCGCTCCTGTCCCGCAGATCTGCCAGCTGGGCAACTTCTCTATCCACATGGCTCTGCGGGACCTGCGGCCGGCTGGTGAGTAGCCCGGGGGACTTGGGGGTGGCTGGGCCGGTAAAGGGATCTGATTTGCTCCTCCTGTCCTGCCTGCCAGGGTCCAAGACCCGGAAGATCCCGTACCCCACCAAGAACCCCTTCACGTGGCTCTTCCTGCTGGTGTCCTGCCCCAACTACACTTACGAGGTGAGGGGCTTCCCTGCACTTGCCGCCTTGGGCTTGGGGTGCCACGTGGTCCCGGAGGAGGAGGGGATGGCAGGACTGGGCCCGCATCCCACAGCCCCGTTCTTGGGTCTGCCAGTACCTGTGGGCTCACACCACCTGCTCCTCTCCTGCGCTTCCCCTCACAGGTGGGGTCCTGGATCGGTTTCGCCATCATGACGCAGTGTGTCCCAGGTGAGCCCTGCTCTGGCCCTTCCCCTGGGCGCGGGGCCTGGTTGGTGGCCATCCTGACCCCCTGCTCTGCCACAGTGGCCCTCTTCTCCCTCGTGGGCTTCACCCAGATGACCATCTGGGCCAAGGGCAAGCACCGCAGCTACCTGAAGGAGTTCCGCGACTACCCGCCCCTGCGGATGCCCATCATCCCCTTCCTGCTCTGAGCCGGCCACGCCGGGCCACCGAGGCCAGCGCCGGGATAAAGCCCTCCTACCCGCCCGACTCGGGTGCTGCGTGTTCATTTGGGGGTGCGTGGAAAGCGAGAGGAGGGGCTCAGGAAAGGGGGCCTGGAGGCATTTATTTTCAACAGGCTCACAGACAGGATGGGGGTTCTATAGGGCCATCTCGGGCGCCACCTCCCCGACTCTGTGGCCTTGGGCCACCATGGCCTCCCTCTGCTCCCGCCGCTTCTTCCGCTGCAGCAGCCGGCGCTCACGCTCGAACTCCTTCATGCGCATCACGTAGCTGGGCCGAGGGCAAAGGTGTCAGGCGGGGAGAACATCACCCCTGCCACCCCACGCAGCCACCTCCACACAGCCATGCCGGTGGCTGGATTGCCCACCTCCTCCCGGTGAAGGGTGGCTCTGGTCACCTGCCCCCCTCCCGGGGTTGGGCTCGTGGTCTCACTCACTCGAGGTGCTCGCAGTGGTCCCAGGCGTGCTGCTCGTGCTTGCAGGCCAGGAAGTTGGGGAAGCTGTCGCGCTTGCACTTAAGCAGCCGAATGAGGTGGTGCGCGCAGTAGTCCCGCTGCTCCAGTGTCAGCTGCGCATCGTTCATCTCCTGCTGCGTGGCCACCATCACTGCGGAACAGGGCAGGAGAGGGGCTCGGCATGTCGGTGCCCGCCTCCCCGACTCCAGGGGTCCCCACAAGAGCCATGTCTTAGGGCTGTCCCCAGGCAGAGCGCGGGGATATGGCCAGCCCCGAAAATGGAGTAGCTTGAAGGGGTCCCTCTTCCTAATTTGCACAAAGGCCACCTGGAAGCTGAAGCAAGCAGAAGAGGGGGCTCTGGCTCTCCCTGATATCCTATGAGAATGTCACTTCCAAACGGGCTTTCCCCTCCTGGTCGGTGCAGGGCCATGTGGCCTCCCTTGGGCCTCAGCATCCTCCCCGGAAAGACAGCAGTCTGCAGGATGGGAGCCACCATGGCCATGCTCACTTAACAATGCCAGGGCCTTCTGAGAGGCGTCTTTAGGGACTGGCAGAGCACGGACTTGTGCACACCAAGACAGCTGCAAGGTTACTAGACAATATAACCGTAAGACCTTTGCCACAGATGGTGCCCTTGGCCAAGAGGCGCCTTAACTTCATCTAAAGCACGTAGGTGCCACCCCTGTGACAGCTGGACCAGCCCTTGGTGGCTGTGCTCTTCCCACTGGTAGAACCTGACCCTGGCCCAGATCAACTCAGGAGGCCAAATGTGGCCCTTACAGAGTGGGTACTCCACAGCCTGTCCCTGCTGTGCCCTTCCCTGGCCGCCACCAGTGCAGCAGGTCTATGGGCCCACGTCCACCACAGCCCTCTTCCCGCTCCCCTCCTGTGCGCCCTTCTACCACCTACCACCCACCATCCCAGGACAGGACTCCCTCTCCCCGTGCCCCCCCTACCCCACACCCTCTCCAGGTCTCTTTCCCCTTTCTAGGCTGTCCACAGCCACCTCCAATGGTGACCAGCCCAGCCAGGTCCCTCCACCTCACACCTCCTCAGAACCAGCTGGGGAACCCACCTGCAGCCCCTGCCAGAGTCCCCTGACCTGGAGTGGCCACAACCCTACATCCCTCCTTGTCACCCCAGCTTATAAATAGCCAGCACCTGGGTTGTGGGTAGCGGGGGAGAAGACAGGTAGAACCCAGAGTGTCACAGATTGCCCGGCAGGGTAGGATCAGGAAGACAAAAATTGAGGGAGATGAACATTGGGAGGGGGCCAGGAGGAGAGGGGGGTGAGCCAGGCAGGTACCTTGGGAAGAACATTCCAGGCGGCAGAACAACAGGTGCAGAGGCCCTGAGGTGACAGGGCAAGGAATGATGGAGCTGCCCCTTACTGAGACAGGGAACAGAGGGAGATGCAGGCCAAGAGCTCTTTTATAGTCTGGCTGGGAGCAAGATGCCCAGCACTGGGACCTGGCCTAGTGGTGCACGCTCGTAATTCCAGTACCCAGGAGGCTGAGGTACGGGGATCTCAAGTTCAAGACCATCTCTTGCCAAGCAAGGCAGGAGCAGGGGAATGTCGGTGTGGGCAAAGCAAGGTACCAGGGGGTTGCCACAATTTGCAAATGCAGAAAGGGCTGAGCACTGCCTGGAGCAGGGACACTGGTGTGACTACACCACCTGCCAGCCTTCTCCCACATGCAGACCTCTCTGTACTCTGGCTCACTGGAGACCACCCAGACCTTCGCTTGTCTGCAGAGTAGCACAGGCTCTGTCCTCTCATCACTCTCATCCACCCCTACTCACGCCCCCTCCGAATTTGCTTCCACCTACCCCAAGATCCCCTGGCTGAGTCCCTGAGACAGCGCCTGCTTCTCTCAGGTACCCTTATCCGCGGGGCCCAGTTTGGGACTTGGCCCAGGGTTGGCGCTCCATACGCCTGTGACATTACTACACAGAAAAAGCAATGGGAAAGGGGGGACTGGGGTGCAGCTCTGTGGAAGAGCACTGCTCAGCATGCATGAGGCCCTGGGTTCCCCAGCATCGCACCGCTACAAGAAAAAAATACCGGACAGCGTGCGCAGCGTGAGTGCCCCTAGTTTTCTGTTTTGTGTAACTGGGATTTGAACTCAGGGCTTCGCACTTGCAAAGCAGGCACTCTACTGCTTGAGCCACACCTCCAGTCCATTTTGCCCTAGTTATTTTGGAGATGGGGGTCTCGTGAACTATTTCCCCGTTCTGGCTTTGAACCGCGATCCTCCCGATCTCAGCCTCCCAAGTAGCCGGGATTACGTGTGGGAGCCACTGTACTCCCCTTCCTACCCCCTAATTTTCTTGTGCATACTTAAAAGTGACATCTGGGCGGCGGTGCAATGAACGCGTCCCTTCCGAGATGAACTCTCCCGTGGCTATCCACTGCCCCCAGGACGAAGCCCGGTTCTGAAACCCCGTTTCCCCGCCAATGTCGCCTGTCCCTTTGGTCCCCAAGCGTTGGCTCCGGCCCTGTCTCGTGCCTGCAATGCTCTCTAACACACTGTCGCTAGCCTCCACTGGACACCCCTCGGGGTCCAGACCACTGCTGAGCCCAGCCAGCCCTACGGACCCCAGCTTTGCACGGTCCCGGCGCCCGAGCCCCACTCCCCCTCCCACCCCCCAGGCGCGCCTGCGCACTGAGCCTCACCGCGCTCCTTGCGGTCGGGGAAGCCATAATCAGGCGAGAACGTGGGCATCCGCAAGGGATCGGGCTCCACCGAGGCATCGCCCAGGTAGCGCCGGGCCAGGTGAGCTCCCATAGCCGCTTTGCCGCAGATCCCTGGAGCGGCAGGGGTCACCTCACTGATACCCGGAAGTACTCCCCACTGTTCCAGCCACGGCTTCCGGGTTGCTCTGCGTGCGGCGCGGGGGCCCTACCCCCCGCGGACGGATCATAGAGACGAACGCTCGCGGACTTCCGGTTTCGCGTGCGCCCCCGGCGGCCGGGAAGAGGCATGACAGTCTCCTTGGGTATTATTGGACGCCAGGAGGCGCATCTCCACCCTGTGGGCGTCAGGCCTCGCACATCCCTTTTTGGGGCGATCCTAGTAGTCCCCTCAGTTCAGAGCACAAAGGAAAATTATTCTTCGTACCATTTTTTTCCCAAAGCACACCTTTGCATCTAAAGCATTCCACGTTCTCTTAAAAAAGGTATAATATACTAGCCTGGCATAGTGGTGCATGCCTGTAATCCCAGCACTTAAGAGGTTGAATCAGGAGGATCACGAGTTGGAGGCTAGGTTGGATTACAAACTGAGACCTTGTCTCAAAGAAGAAAAAGAAATATCACCACTTCCCACCCTCCTCCATGGTCAGCAGCCCCACCCAAGCACCTTCACCTCTTCACCTGCTCCAAGGGCCACCTGTTTCAAGAGAACCCTGTCACTCCTCTGCTCTCCAGACAACCTGTGGGACCTGTCCCTGTGGTTGGAGCCTATAAAGTAGGTTTGTGATTCTGGTGCCTTTCCTGCCTGAGTCCAGGGAACAGCATTCACGTTGGTGTGTTTGCAAATGAATCTGCCTGGGCTGGCTTTGAACCACGATCCTCCTGATCTCTGCCTCCTGAGTAGCCAGGATTACAGGAGTGAACCACAGCCCCCCGCTGACTCTGTTGTTTTGTTTATTGTCTCTGTCCTCCAATGTCAGTTCCCAGGGGACAGGGATGACATATTTCTCCTCTAGCATCGAGGAGGTGTGCTGGGATTCAAATGTGACGCCCGGATCTCACATGCTGGATGAGCAACGTGCAAAGTCCTTTGCGAATATGGCGTGTGAACAGGGAAACTCGGGTCTGGGTGTGCCTGTGAGCTCTCGTGAGTGGATTGGTCCATTCAGGGGTCAGTGGACCAATGGATGCTGAGGGAGGAGCTTTGCTGTAAAAATGAGTACTCAGGAGGCAGAAATCAGGAGGATCGAGGTTTGAGGCCAGCCCCGGCAAACAGTTCATGAGACCCTATCTTGAAATACTCTTCACCACAAAGGACTGGTGGAGTGGCTCAAGGTGAAGGCCCTGAGTTCAAACCCCAGTACTGCAACAAAACAAAACAAAACAAAGTGAGTGCTCTCTCTTTCCCAATCTCTCTCACTCTCTCTTACTTTTGGGATAGGGTCTTGCATTTTTCCCTGGACCACAATCCTATTTATGCCTGTTACATTGCCAGGATGACAGGCATGCCCTACCATGCCCAGTTTTGGGTTGAGATAGGGTCTTGCTAACTGTTTGTGCAGGCTGGCCTTGAACCGAGATCCTCCCTATTTGTGCCTCCTTAGTAGCTGGGATTACAGGCACAAGCCACCGTGCCTCCTGAGGTCCTGGGAGCCTGCCTTGTCCTAACTCAGGGCTGGGGACAAGACAGGGATGGCATTGTGGTGAGGGTGATGTCACATCACGTGTGTGGAGGTGGGGAGAGGCCCGGGTCCCAGTCACCCATGATGTATGTCTTCCTGTTTTTTCTCCCTCAATCACCAGACAAGGAGCCCTTCCTGTACTCCCGCCACACCCGCAGGTGCCTTGTCTAGTTGCCCCAGGGTGTCTGCCCTCCACCCCCTCCCGCCATCCTGTCCGGCCACCTCTGGGCTACGCCAGGCAGGGGCTGGCTGCACGAGCATTTTGTGAGGCTGGGGCTGGAAACTCTGGGTGGTGTCTGAGCTGCGCTACCTGCACCTGCCTCGAATCCAGACACCGGGGATTCTGCCATCAGCATCAAGGGTGGCCGGCTGCTGTGTGACGGCCAAAGGAGCTTGCAGGGCTCTGACCTGAGCTACGATCTTGGTGAAGGTTTGCTGGGCAGGATGGTCACTTATTCACTCATCAAGCATTGTGTTCCCATGTGTCAATTGGTAAGAACCAGTAGACAGGACAGACACAAATCCATGGCCTCGTGGAGCTGAGCTGCTAGTGGGAGGGGGGATGACAGACAATGAATAAAGAAATGACAAAGATAAAGAAATGACAAGCTGGCTGTGATGGTGCATGTCTGTAATCTGAACACTCGGGAGGCTGAGGCAGGGGGATTGCAAGTTCAAGGTCAGCCTGGGCTACACAGTGAGACCCAGACCCTGTTTCAAAGCAAATCAAAGCAAACCAAACCCGAAGTTTATTTCTCACAGGCCAGGAGGCACAGGCAGGTTTGAAATATGTCTGGGAAGGCTTTCTCTGTACCTTTTCTTTTTTTGGGGGCAGCACTGGGATTTGAACTCAGGGCTTCATACTTGCTAGGCAGGAGCACTACCACTTGAGCCACTTCGTCAGCCCTTTGTGCTTTGGTTATTTTTCACATAGGATCTTGCATTTCTCGCCCAGGCCGTGCACCGTGCTTTTCCTACTTGTGCCTCCTAAGTAGCTGGGATGACAGGTGTGCACCACCCCACCAGGCTTGTTGATTGAGATGGGGTCTTATGACTTTTGCCCGGCTGGCCTCAAACTTAGCTCCTCCTGATCTCTGCCTCCCAAGTAGCTGGGACAACAGGTGCCCGGCCCCATCCCCGCTACCTCGGTCCCTTCCCTGCCATCCACACCCATCGGGGAGCCTGCTGTGCCCCGTGCTAAGCCGCCAGGCTTTGCCCCCTCTCAGCCTCTCAGCCAAGTCTCCGTGTCCTCATCTGTAGCATGGGGACACCACAAGGGAAAGTCCAGCTCCCTGGGGTGAGCGTTTAATGGAAAGGGGACCTGGGGACACTTTCCACTGTGGACACTGATGGCTCAGACCGAGAGTATGCGATGGGACAGTCCCTCCTCCTCCTTTTCCACCTCCTCTCTCTCTCTCTCTCTGGTTATTTTGAAGATGGGGTCTCGCTTTTTACCCTGGGCAGCCCGGATCCCAATCCTCCTACTTAGGTGTCCTGCCTTGCTGGGATGACAGGTGCACAGCACTGCGCCTGGCTTGTTGGTTGAGATGGGGTCTGGTTAACTTTTTGCCCTGGCTGGCCTGGAACCGTGACCCTCCCAACTGCCACTTCCCGAGTACCCGGGATTACAGACGTGAGCCACTGTGCCTGGCCCTATCCATCTCTTTTCACCTAGTCTTGTGCTCTGTGGGAGCCGTGTCTGGAGTGGCCATTGTCACTGTCATTTCTATGCCACGGGGAAAGACAAGTGCTTTCGTGGGGTGTCAGGGGCTCCTCTGAAGACAAATTTGCATGTAGTTGACTTTGAAAGAAAAAGGGAACAGAGAAAGGCCCCAGACACCTGAGTAGGAGGAGGAGGAAGGGGTCGAGCTGCCACTTGTGGTTGTCACTTCTCGCCTCCTATGTTTACTGAAGACATGGACGCCCTGTATACGAACACCGGCCGCCCAGACCCACCAGGTATGGCCCTAGCCAGGACCCTGCTCTCAGTGTCCCCACCTCAGGGAGCTGAGACCAGAGCCCGGGCCTGAGGGATGGAGGAACGGGTGGCTGCGCCCTGACTCGCCTTGTCTCTGCAAGGGATCATGGAGGATGACGATAATGATGACTATGAGAACACAGCCCCGCCCTATAAGGACCTTCCTCCAAAGCCAGGTAAGGGGACCGCTTGAGGTCACCTGGGGGAGCAGGGTCACCAGGGGCCAGGAGCTGGGCACAGCAAACACATGGAGAACTAGTTGCCCAGGCTGGCCTCTAACTACGATCCTCCTGATCTCAGCCTCTCCAGTAGCTGGGGTTACAGGGGTGAGCCACCATGCCCGGCTGACAGTGTAGCTTTGATGTTCTTGGAGAGAGGTAATCTCACATGGGACAGGGCTCTGCACCCCCCACCTCCAGTGTCTGAGGTCCGGGGACACACGGGGCTGTGTTGCTTGACTGTCTCATCTTCGTCCCCAACATCAGTGTCATCCTCACTTTCAGTGCAACGGGGTCTTGAATTCACAGACTCTTGTCTTTCCTGGGATGTGGTAATCTCCATTTTTTTTTTGATACTGGGATTTGAACTCAGGGCTTGGTGCTTGTCAGACAGGCGCTCTACCACTTGAGCCACTCCGTCAGTCCTAAGTTTTCAGTTTTTAAACCAAGAAGGGCAGTGATGGTGGTGCCTGACCCTGTGGGTGCAGACATTTGAGAGGCTGAGGCAGGGAGGATTGCTTGAGCACAGGATTTCAAGGCCAACCTGGGCCACACAGCAAAACCCTGTCCTTCCTTCCATCCTTCCTTTTTTTTGGCACTGGGGCTTGAACTCAGGGCCTTCACCTTGAGCCACTCCACCAGCCCTTTTTTGTGAAGGCTTTTTTGTTTTTTCGAGATAGGGTCACTGAAACTTTGCCCGGGCTGGCTTCGAACCGTGATCCTCCTGATCTCTGCCTCCTGAGTAGCTGGGATCAGGCATGAGACATGGGCGCCCAGCCTTTATTTTATTTTTTTGACAACAGGGTCTTTCTCCTTCAGCCCCCAGTCCTGGGATTACAGGCATACATCACCACACCTGCCTTACTTTCTTCCCTCGTTCCATCCTCAGACCCTCACTAACTGAGCCTCCCTCTCCCTCAGGCTCGATGCCTCCACCAAGACCTCCAAGAGCAGGTGAGCTGGGGCTGGGGGCTCAGAAGAGCTCCGCTCTGGGCCCAGGCAGCTGCTCCCCCTCCTCATGGAAGAACCTGGAGGACCTTCCACTTCCTCCCAAGCCCCTGAAGACGACAGGTGGGAGTCGGGAGCTGGGGTCAGCCTCCTCACTGGGCTGAGGCCCACTCCAAATGACCCTTGTCCTATTTGATCCATCCAGGCCTGGACCTCCCGCCTGTCACCTGCCCATCTCGTCAGTCGGGTGAGTAGCGGGAATACCATTTAAGGAACCCAAGAGGGGTGCCTGGAAGTTTCCTTCCTTCGTTTGTGGTACTGGGGTTTGAACTCAGGACCTCACACTTGCTAGGCAGGCGCTCTACCACTTGAGCCACTCCACCAGCCCCTTTTCCTTTGATCATTTTTCAGGCTTACATTTTTGCCTGGGGCTGGCCGCAGAGCCCAGTCCTCCTATTTACACCTTTCATGTAGCTGGGATTACAGGTATACACCACCATACCCAGTTTTTTTTTGTTGTTGTTGAGATGGGGATCTTGCTCAAACCTCAGTCCTTCTGATCTGCAACTCCCGGATAGCTGGGATTACAGACAGGAGCCACTGCGCCCAGACCTGAGTCCTCCACTTCTGATCAGAGAGCAAAGCAGGGGTTGTGGTCTTGGAAGGTCATTCAGCGCCTTCCGAATGAACCTTTCTCCTTCTTGTTCGCAGGGGTCGATTTGGAGCCTCCTCCATTCCAGCCCTCCCTAACCAGTAAGTCCTTCCGTCTGTCCCCACTGGATGTCTCCCTTTGTCCTCTTTCCGGGCCTGGAGTTTGACCCCCAGCCAGAGTCACTTCCTTTCAGAGTTGGTCCTTCCTGACTCCGGGCCAGGCCTTGGGGACCGAGGGTGTCTTCTGGGGACTCTTCTTTTTTTGTTTGTTTGTTTTTGAGACAGGATCTCAGTATGTAGCCCAGGCTGGCCTGCAACTCTCAGTCCTCCTGCCCCAGCCCCCCTCCCCCAAGGGCTGGGATTACAGGAGTGTACCACTGTGCCCAGCTTCCTGGGGTCTCACCCACTTCCTGCTTGCGGAAGAAACAGGAAATGTCCACCCCCCACACAAGGGTCCACGGGCTTCTGTGAGTGGGAATGGCTGGGGCTGGGGCTGCTGGGGCACAGAAAGCAGCTTAGCTTAGCTAGTGAGAGCGGAGCTGCCGGACACAGTTTTCATGCACTGTAAGTCAGTTTTTTTTTTTTTTTTTGTGGTGCTGGGGATGGAACCCAGGGCCTCATGCCTGCTAAGCAAGTGCTCACCATGGAGCCTCAGCCCCGGCCACTTTTGCTTTTAGTTTGTTCTCACATAGGATCTTAGACTTTTTCCAGGGGTGGCCTAGAACCGCCATCCTTCTATCTCTGCTCCCCAGTAGCTGGGATTACAGGTTTGTGCTGCCACACTCAGCCTGTTATTATTAGTTTTTAAATTCTGGTACTGGGGTTTGAACTCAGGACCTCAAGAGAGACATAACCGAGGCTCAGCACATAGGAAGTGCTCCACAAGTGTAAATTCTGGGTCCCCTCTGACTTAGTCTCCCCAGCACTGTCTTGCTGACAGTGTCACCCTGCCGGTGACAGACGTGACTGGAGGCCTCTGTGGTCTTGGACAAAGGCTTAGAGGTCCCTCCTTGTCTCTGGGGAACACCTGTCCCAGCTTCTCTGTCCCTATCCCCAGCCACTCCGGTGTCCTGGATTCATACAAGGTCCAGGGGCTCAGTGTGCCACCAGGAAGACAGACTGACGGTGGCCCTGTGTCTGCTGGCGGCCACCTCTCTGCTCCTGAGCTCTGTCGGCCTGGCTGTGACCGTGATTAAGTGTGAGTAGGGCTGGACGGGGCACAGGAGCCTGGGATGGGGGTCAGGCTGGGTGGACAGGGCTCAAGCTGGACTGTCCCCTGCAGACCAGGAGGTGGCGGAGAAACTGAGGCTGTTGAGCTTGGAGCAGATGTCGTGGCGAGAGCACGGTGAGTACTGCCTGGGGTGCGGGGACACCTTGAACCAACCTCATCTGCGCCAGTGCCAGGCCCTGTGCGGGGTCCCTGGGGGAAGAAGGGTGACCACAGCACACTCGGACACGGTTCTCCTTGTCCTCATGGACTGTGATAGTGGGCGTGACCAGACCTCCATGTCAAATATGGCAGCCATCAGCCATGTGTACCTTGGACACTTAGAACGTGGTCAGACAAAATGTGCTGTATTGAGGCAGAGATCAGGAGGATCACGGTTCGAGGCCAGCCCAGGCAAATACTTCATGAGCATCTATCTCATCACAAAAAGGGATGGTGGAGGGGCTCAAGGTGAAGGCCCTGAGTTCAAACCCCACTACCGCACACACAAAAACAAAACACACACACAAAGCCAAAATGTGATGTATTATTAGAATAAAATAATAAAAAGCACACTGATTTCAAAGACTTGCTCCAAAACAGAAGGCAACGTATCACACTAATACTTTTAATTTTTTTTTTTTTTGAGATAGAGTGCCCAGGCTGGTGTCAAACTCCTGATAATTCTACCTCAGCCTCCTGAATGCTGGGATTACAGGCATGAGCACTATGCCGGGCTCAGTGATCCATAGATTACATACGGAAACGGTAATAGGGTGGCTATATAGGACAAATGAAAACCGATTGTAGTGAATTTCTTTTGGAGGTGCTGGGGCTGGAACCCAGGTCTTGCACAGGCAAGACAAGCGCACTTAACCACTGAGCCACACTCCCAGCCTGTTTTGCTGTTGAGGTCATTTTTTTGCATAGTGTTTTTGCCTGGGCCACCCTGGACTGTAATTCTCCCACCTACAGCCTCCCATGTAGCTGGGGTCACAGGTATGTACCACGATGCCCAGCCCACTGAGGTTGAGATGAGGTCTCTCAACTCTACCTTCCCGATCTCAGTCTCCCAGGGAGCTGGGATTACAGGCATGAGCCCCTGGTGCTGGCAAATTCTGTGTTTCTCACCCTCAAGCCTGTCCTTCTGACAGTGACGGGCATGGCAGGACTGGCTGGCTTGAAGATGGACATTGACCATGTAAGAGCTAACGTGAACCAGTCCCTGGTGGAACTTCGGGGCCTATTAGGTGAGTGAGACTTGGGGAACTTTCCAGAAATGGGGAGGCATTGCACAAGCCCACAGGAGTGATTCTGAGCGGAGCGTAAGAACGGCGCCTCGGGCAGTTGAGCACTGTACATCCGGCATCACTGTACACAGCACCCTCCGCTCAGGGCTCTGACTCCAGGACCACCTGACAGCATCCTGTGTTGCCCCCAGACTGTTCCAGGGTCACCTGTCCTGATGGCTGGGTCCCTTTTGAGGGCAAGTGTTACTACTTCTCCTCAAACACCAAGTCCTGGGATGACGCCAGGAGTTTCTGTCAGGAGAGTTATTCCCACCTGGTCATCATCGATAGCTTCGCTGAGCACGTGAGTCGCCCTGAGAGCCAGTGGGACCGGCGGTGTCACTTCCGCAGGCCACATGTCCTTTCCTTTCCTGGGTGGAGAGAAACTGGAAGTATTTTTTTTTTTTTTGGCAGTACTGGGGCTTGAACTCAGGGCCTCACCCTTGCTAGGCAGATGCTCTACCATTTAAGCCACTCCACCAGCCCTTTTTTCTGAAGGACTTTTTGAGATAGGGTCTCACAAACTATTTCCCCCGGCTGGCTTCAAACCGTGAGCCTCCTGATCTCTGCCTCCTGAGTAGCTGGGATTACAGGCGTGAGCCACCATGCCTGGCTTCTCTGGTTTCTTAAAATCTTCCTGAGGCTTTAACTAGGAAACAATTCCTAGGTATCTTTTGATTTTTAGAGTCCCCAAAACTGTTTTTCTTATTGCCAAAACCTGGGGTTCACTAGAATGAGGTGCATGCCCTGACCCCCCTGCCGTCTCCCCGCCGGGAGCCCACCATGCCTTTCCCATGCCCCAATCCCCCGTGTCACAGAGCCCGGGTCTGGTGACAGCTGGTACTGCAAGGCATGGGCCACACTCATGCTATGATACATAGAACCATCAGCTCAGTGTCAGTGTGCTCCCACCACAAGTGCAAGGCCCTGGGTTCAAACCCCAGTGCCACCAAAAAAAAAAAAAAAGAAAAAAAGAAAAAAAAGGGGGAAACAAGCTAATTAACAAGAAACCAGTGGGTTACTATTGGTAAAAATGTAACTTAATTGTTACCATGTTAAATGTTAAGTCTTAAGGCTTCACAGTCCTGGCAGTGTGCCTGTCACCAGTCCTGAGCACTTTCACCTTATACCAAGTCTGTGTTCTTCCATTTTTTTTTCTTTTTTAGTAAAAGCAGCAGTAAAGTTTATTAGGAGAGGACTGAGAGGGGGGAAGAGAGAGAGAGAAGCATTTTCTGTTCCCCATGCAGAAAATGGGAGCAAAGACTCCTGTGTTCTTCCATTTTACAAATGGAGAAAGTGAGACCAGGAAGGTGAGCACATCCATCTCAGTTTCGACCACAAAGTACCTGGCGCTGGGTACTTTATAGAGAGAAGAGGTTTATTTAACTCACGGTTTTGGAGGCTCAACGTCCAAGTGGACTCTGGTGAGGCCCCTCCTGGCTGCATAACAACCCCAAAGATGGCGGCATTGCAGGAGGGTGAGAGGGAGGTTCATGTGACAAGACAGGAACTTGTGACAAGGAGCAGCCATGCTGGCTCTTTTTACAGCAGCCTCTGAGTCACTCCTGCCATAGCAGGCACCCAGAAATCTAACTGCCTCTCACCAGGCTCCGCCTCTTAAAGGAGCCACCACCTAGCAGGGCACAGTGGCTCACTCCTGTAATCCTAGTGATTCAGGAGGCACAGATCAGGAGGATCGCGGTTGGAGGCCAGTCCGGGTAACAAAAGTGAGACCCTATCTTGAAAAAATGCCCAACAGGCTGGTGGAGTGGCGCAAGTGGTAGAGCACCTGCCTAGCAAGCATGAGGCCCTGAGTTCAAACCCCAGAACCACCAAAAGGAAAAAAAAGGTGTCACCCAACACGTGTTAACGTGCGGGGGAGGTGTAGGTCTTGCTCTGCACACCAGGGGGACATAGAGGAATATGGGGACATTCCTCATCCCTATGTGAGTGGGAGGGACACTGAAGGGTGAGCTCTGGTCCTGATTGATGTGTACAGGATTGATGGCTGGATGGAATTTGACCTTGCAGAATTTTGTCACCAAGACTCACGGCTCTCCGAGGGTGTACTGGCTGGGGCTGAATGACAAGGAGCGAGAAGGGGACTGGAGGTGGCTGGATGGCTCTCCTGTCACGTTAAGGCAAGTGTCCATGGCTCCTGGGTCTCTCTGTGTCCTCTGTGTGTCCTGACGATGGGAAGGAGAGATGACAGTGGCTGTGTGGCTGAGGGACTCATTTTTTATTTGGTGGTACTAGGGTTTGAACTCAGGGCCTTCACCTTGAGCCACTCTCCTAGCCCTTTTCTGTGATGGGTATTTTCGAGATAGAGTCTCAAGAACTGTTGCCTGGGCTGGCCTCAAACTGTGATCCTCCTGATCTCTGCCTCCTGAGTAGCTGGGATTACAGGCGTGAGCCACTGCACCTGGCTTTGTATGCATTATTTTGTGAAGTCCATAGCTCACCCTTTGTGACTCGGTTCTATGTTTTTTTTTGTGTGTTTATATACCCCAGGCTGGCCTCGAGCTCACAATCCTCCTGCCTCAGCCTCCTGGGTGCTAGGATTACAGGTGTGCCCTACCATGCCCAGCTACAGTTCAATGAGTTTTGACGACTGCATAATGATACATAGTGACCATTATGGCATTACAAAGAATGGTTTCATTATTCTAAAAATCCTCCATCTCCCCCGTCTCAGCCCTCTCACGGTTTCCTCCATCCAGCTTCTGGGACCCTCAGGAACCCAACAACATCCAAAATGAGGACTGTGCCAGTATGAACAAGGGTGGAACTTGGAATGACCTCTCTTGTGCCAAAACTACATATTGGATTTGTGAGCGGAAGTGTTCCTGTTGACCCCCAGGGGTGAAGCGGGGGCCGGGGGTCCCAAACCCAGTGTGCCCCCCTCTTGGAGGTGAGAACGTCTCTTCCTTTCGTGGAAGGCGCAGGCTTCACCCACGGACGTGGGTGTGTTGACACCGTGGTCAGCAGCCCTGTACATCAAGTTCCCCTGGGGACACAAGTGTGGTGTGTGTCTCCATGGATGGCGAGCCGGTGGGGCACACAGGACTGGGGGGCAGGTGTGGTCCCATCTCTGGGACATGGAGGACTTTGACCAAATTCCTGGAGGAGCAATGCTGGCTGGGCTGGGGACCCTGGATGTGACATTGAACCTGGGAGGTGAGAGCCTGGCTCCTCTGTGTCACTATCAACTTGACTCCTGGCTGTCCCATCAGTGCAGATGGCCCTCTGGAAAGTGGTGAGGTAGAATGAGTCTCACAGTGAATGGTCGCCACATTGTGGTGACATTTCCCAAGCTACATGGCAGAATCTGACCTCTGCCAAGACCACTGGCCCCATGGAGTGTCCGGAAATGCAGTCCAGCTATAAAGCAAGGCCTCGATGTGCCTCGGTCACAGCCATGGGACAATGATGGACATATGTGATTATGAGTGCCTTTGAGCTGTTTGTGGGTTCTAAGGATCTTTGGTGATACCAGGTGTGGTGGTGCACTCCTGTAATCCCAGCACTCGGGAGGCTGAGGCAGGAGGGTTACACATTGGATACCAGCCTGGGCTCTACAGGGAGACCCTGTCTCAAAAAAATGGTTTTGACAATGCAATAATTCACTTCATATCTGTGTGGACTTTCTTGGGCCGTTAGGTCTTCCAGTATTAGTGCATTTCAGAATATCATTTCATTCTGTGTTTCTTGTTCGCTGGATTTACTTCTGTTTTTATTTTTTATTCCTTTGGGGCAACTGAGGTTTGAACTCAGGGCTTCCCACTTGCAAAGCAGGCTCTCTCCCAGTTGAGCCACACCCAGTCCATTTTGCTCTGGTTGTTTTGGAGATGGGGTCTCATGGAGTATTTCTCTGGGCTGGCCTTAAAGCTTGATCTCCTGATCTCAGCCTCCCAAGTAGTTGGGATTATAGGCATGAGCCACTGCGCTTGGTCCTCAATATCCTTTTTTAAAGGCTCTGTCTGCAAATATGGCCACAGTAAGGGTGCTAAGGGTTAGCACTTCAACATGTATATATTTTTTTGGCAGGGGAGGAGGACGCAATTCACCCCATGACACTAAGTACCACAATGTTGGTAGCTCATTGTTACCATCAGAAAACCACCCAGTCCCCAACTGAGCACAGTACCCCACAGGACAATCCCTGAGCTGTAAGCAGGCATGGCAGACTTTCCCCACATGAATCAGTGCGCCATTACTAACAGCTGACTCTTTCCTGCTTTGACCAAGAGCAGGTGAGACGGAGGGGAGGCTCTTACAGCAGGGGGATGGCAGGGACACCAGGGGGCCACTGCACTTCTTGTCTCCCACCTCCACACCTGTCCCCATCCGCCACCACCCCAGCCAGCCCCCTCCCCCTCCTGGGCACGGCCTGTCGAGGGGGTGGATGACGTGTTCCGAGCCTGTCACTTTATCTGGGGCCGGGGGAAGTTCCCACGCCTCAGAAGCAGAAAGTGAAGTTCCTTCTGTGTGTTGGGAAATGGAGAAGCAGACGGCTGTGGTCACATCTGTGAGTCACACGTGTTGGGGGTGAGGGGGTAACCAAGGTAGGGTCACCGCAGGCTATCTCCTACATCTCTCCTAAGTGTCTAATTGAAGACACTTCAAAAGGGGACTCTTTTACCACACTGGGTCCAGAAGGAGCCAAAGTTGGATGCTTTGTTGATTACAGGCACACACCACCATGCCCAGTTTGTTAACTGAGATGAGGTCTTCCTAATTTTTTTTTCTTTTTGCTCGAGCTAGGCTGAAGCCTTGACCCTGCAGATCTCTGCCTCTTGAGTAGCTGTGGTTACAGGCATGCACCACCACGCTCAGCCCCTGAACTCCATTTTATAGCTGTGAAAACAGGTCTGGAAGGGGATATCTAGTAGCTTCTCCACTGTCATTTAATGGATACATGTCACAGCTAGGATTCTCGCTCAGTCTCTGTCTCATGACTGGTGTCTTTTTGCAGCCCTTGCTATGTCCCAAGGGATTGGCTGTAAAGTTGAATTCCCCAAGGGCCCTGACCTCGGTGGCTCCGGTCTCAGCTGGTTATTTTGGGAAAGGAGCAGGTGCGGTGTGCTGGGAAACAGATATCCTGGGTTGAGAGAGGAGATCGGAGCCCCAGTGCTGGTCTGTGATTCTTGGGACTTTTCTGGGGGTGATTATGGTAACACAGGGGCCTTTGAGACCAGGGCTAGTGAACAAGGGGTCAGCTACCTGTAGTGTAACAGAAAAGTAGAAGTGGTTCCCTGTGCTTTCCTTCCCTAGTCCTTATTTATTTATTTATTGGTTTCTGAGATAGGGTCTAGCACTGTGTAGTCCAGGCTGGTCTCAAACTCATGATCCTCCTGCCTCAGCCTCTCCAGCGCTGGGATTACAGACATGAACCACCACACCCGGCTGCTCTTTCCCTAATCTTTTAATGACCCATGCCTTTCACATGGTACCTAAATCCTGACAAGACACATCTGCAATGCCTCCTCTCCTCACTCACACAAATACACTTGAGGTCATGTGTTTTTCTGGAAAGAAAATGCCGGTGCTGGCCCCAGGAGTCTGGGTCTCAGGTCCTGGTTAAGTTTCAAAGAAAAGGAGAAGGCCAGGCATGGTGGCTCTTGCCCGTAACCCCAGCTACTTGGAAGGCTAAGATCAGGAGGATCGAAGTTTGAGACCAGAAATAATTCTTCAGATTCCCATCTCCAAAAATAACCAGAGCAAAATGAACTGAAGGTGTCACTCAAGCAACAGAGCACCTGCTTTGCAAGTGCGAAACCCTGAGTTCAAACCCCAGTTCCACCAAAAACAAAACAAAACAAAAAAAGCGGAAAAGGAGAGTCCACGCGCTGGAGAGAAGAGAAAGGCTCGAGCCAGCGTGGGGGTTTTCTTCCTGCTGTGTCACTCTACCCCAGTCCTCCCAAAGATGGAGATTTGACACAGGAACTCTCTATTCTCCTCAGGGCTGACCTTAACTAAAATCTTTTTCCTCCCGCTGGTTTCTGTCTCCTGCTTTTCCCAGAAGGTGGGAGCAGTGGGAACTGTGGATTCTGGTAGCAATAGGATTTGTGGATAGGATGTGGGGGAAACAAAAGAGGAAGAACGTGGTTTTCAGACCAAACCACAGAAATGATCACAGAGACTGGGAAGAAAAATACTAATACCATGTAATTTACGTGTGTGAAAATTCTTCAATCTGTCTCTCCCTTCTTTTTTTTTATGGGACTGGGGTTTGAACTCAGGGCTTCACACTTCCAAAGCAGGTGCTCTACAGCTTGAGCCACACCTCCAGTCCATTTTGCTCTGGGTATTTTGGAGATGGGGATCCCAGGAACTATTCACGTGGGCTGGCGTTAAATCTTGATCCTCCTGATCTCTGCCTTCTGAGTGGCTGGGATTACAGGCGTGAGCCACAGCAAGGGTTAGTCTTAAACCCGTGCGCTTTTATGGCAGAATGGAGGGGGAGACACGGGCGCCGAGGCGGGAACGAGGTAGGATGGGTGTGGATGAGGTAGGATGAGTGTGTATCTGTAAGATGGCAGGAAGCTGAGGGAGTGCCACCAGCTGGCGTCGGCCACCTGTGAAGTAGGAGACCAGGTTTTCCCTCACGTTAAGGGAAAGGTTCGGGTTTTCCACGTACGCATGTCAGAGCTATGGAGAGGGGACAGCCAACAGAGTGGCCATGGCGACGGGAGGGGACGTGCCCCAGTGGTCCTCACCTCCCGAGCGGGGCAGCCCCACAACGGCCGTCCTGTGGCTGCGAGACACACCAAACTACTCGGTCCAAGGATGTGGGAGCCTCAGGACACTGTGGGGACCAAGTGACACCACCCCAGCCTGGGAAGTCCCTGGAGAACTGTAGGTCCAAGTTCACAGTCACACGATGGCATCAATCAGCCATCAAAACACCGAAAGACAAACCACAAACCAAAAACCCAAAACCTGCTCAGAAGGGATGGGTGCGCACCCTTAAGGCTTTCCCCCTCTGGCCCGCTCATCACGCCCAGGCCCCAGCCAATTGGCTGGTACCATCATCTTTTAGGGCGGGGCTTCTCCCTCAGTTTGCTAGTTCACATTGTCAATCACCTCTGGAACCGCCCTCGCAGACACGCCCTCACAGGCACGCCCACCGAATGGCTTCCCACTCCTGCCCTCTTGTCACACCCAGGCTCCAGCCAATTGGCTGGTAACACCATCATTTGGGGCGGGTCTTCTCCCTCGGTTCACTAGTCTACATGTCAGTCATCTCTGGAACCGCCCCCATAGACACGCCCACAGAGTAGCTTTCCCCGCCTGCCCGCTCATCTTGCGCAGGCCCCACCGATTGGCTGGTGTACCCTCATTTAGGGCGGGCCTTCTCACCTCAGTTCGCTAGCCCACATGTCAATCACCCCCGCAGACACGCCCACAAGGGTGCTTTACCAGTTTTCCCGCGCTTGTCTCTAAGCAGGTGGGTTGACACCAAGGTCAGCCATCATCCAAATAAGAAAGCAAGGGTTGCCAGAATGGGCTTTTCCTGCCCAAGAAAGGAGGTGAAGCTGGAGGCTGGAGGGACTGGAAGCACTGAAAGAGCGAGCTTACAATGAGTGAGGGTGAGAGTTTGAGGGAAGGGCTGGAGAGGGGCACCCTCTTTTGCAAAAAACGTCAGTCATGATTTGGGTCCCTGGGAACAGGACTGATGTCACAGCAAGGAGAACTCCAATGCAACACACATTTACTGCAAGCTTATTGTGCCTAGCCAGCACTTGAGGAAGCCAACGTTGGTTGTGTCCTCTTGCATGACATGTTCCCTCCTCAGCTTCAGCCTTCACAGTGCCAGCAAGACCCACGGCAGGCGTGACTTTCCGCAAGACTGTTCTGAATGTTTCTTCATTTGCTCTGCGAAAAATATCCCATGAAAGATTTTAAGATTAATACTGTATTACGAATCAAATGAACGACCCCAGCAACCAACCAAATAACAACACGACATGGAGAAAGAGCAGGACTGAGGTAAAGCAAGCCCCATCCAGCTCTAGGGGTGACAAGATCGCCTAGAATTGTGGACCCCTAGGCAGGCCTGGCTTTTCTCAAACACAGTATATTCTTTTAGTGGTGCTGGGTTTGAACTCATGGCCTGTGCTTGCCAGGCAGCTGCTCTACCACTTAAGTCTCAACCTCCAGCTCTTTTTGCTTTAGGTATTTTTTGAATGGAGTCCACCATTCTATTTATGGTGCCAGTGTAGCTGGGATGACTGGTGTACACCACGCACTAGGCTTTTTTATTGATTGAGATGAGGACTCATGAACTATTTGCCCAGGTTGGCTTCGAACCATAACCCTCCTGATCTCCATCTTCTGAGTAGCTAGGATTACAGGTGTGAACCACCAGCAGTCAGCCTCCCTATGGCATACTCGTTGTGTCACTTCAGATGATGTGCCGTGCCTCCACAGGACTCTGCAGGGTTCCCCCTCCCCCAAGCAAGAAGGCTTTCACCAGATGTGGCCTCCAAAACTGTAAGAAATAACTTTTTTGTCTATAAATACCCAGACTTAGGCATTTCGTTATATCAATAGAAAACAGACCAGGATGGTATTCAACTCCAGAGTTTAAATCCTCTGGATGTTGTTCTTTTTCCTATGAAGAAAGGCTGGACTCTGAGATCCACCAAGACAGGGGCCCACTAACCAACAAATGAACCAACCAACACACCCTTTTGGTTGGGGTGTGGCTCAGTGGTAGAGCACTTGCCTAGTATGTGTGAGGCCCTGAGTTCCAGCCTCACTACCTCAAAAAGCAAAAGTAAAGAAAAATCAATGTTTATCTCTTATTGGAGGGAAATGGGAAGTGTCATTATGAGTTGGATAAGGGGGGAGGGGTGGGACATTAGAATAAGTCGCAGATTTTCTTACCTCACTGTGTTTTGTGTCAGGGCCAAACTTGCTGGAAAGTGTATATGCTTCAGACTCAGATTTGGATTTCGTGATATCTGTAAACCACTTTTGATATTGTTTCTGAACCTGGGACAGAAAAGAAAATGCCAGGATATTTTTTTGTGAACATTGACAAAAAGTTAGTGGACCATGAGGAGGATAGGGATCTATTATTTTAAGTAATTTTTTCCCACACAAGGTGGCATGTCCATTCAATGGAATATTATTCAGCCTTGAAAAGGAAGGGAATTTTAACACTTGCTACAACATGAGTGAGCCTTGAAGACATCGTGCCAAGTGAAATAAGTCAGACAGAAGACTAAACTTGTAAAATTCCACTCATATAAGGTACTATAAATAGTAAAATTAATTGAGACAGAAAATGGAATGGTAGTTGCCAGGGAATTAGCAGGTGGGAACCTGGAGTTATTGTTTAACAGGCAAAGCTTTGGCCAGGCACTGGTGGCTCATGCCTGTAATCCCAGCTACTCAGGAGGCAGAGATAGGAGAATTGTGGTCGGAAGCCAGCCTGGGCAAATAATTTGAGAGACCATCTCGAAAAAAGCCCTTTGCAAAAAAGGGATGGTGGAGTGGCTCAAGGCATAGGTCCTGAGTTCAAGCTGCAGTACCACAAAAAAAAAAAAAAGAAAATGATTACAATGGAAAAGCTGGCATAGGCATAGTAGGGCACACCTGTAGCTCCAGCTACTCAAGAGGCTGAGGCAGGAACATTGCTCCAGCCCAGGAGTTCAAGGCCTACCTGGGCTACACAGTGAGACCCCCATCTCAAAACAACTATCAAAATGGTAATTTATTTTTTTTTGCAGTTCTGGGGTTTGAACTCAGGGCTTTGTGCTTGTTGGTTAGTGCACTACCATTTGAGCCACTCCACTGGCCCTTTTTACTTCAGTTCTTTTTTCAGGGAGGGGCTTGCTAACTTTTTCCCAGAGCTGGCCTGGAACCATGATCCTCCTGATCTCAGCCTCCCAAGTAGCTAGGATTACAGCCACCTGGCCATAAATGGATACATCTTGTAATCAACCGTTCTTTCCTTACCAGCTTCCTGAGATATAATAACCCTGTCACATGTGAATTCCAGGGTCTCCCAATGTAGCTCAGACTGGCCTTGAAATCATGGTTCTCCTACTTCAGCCTCCCAAGTGCGGGATTACAGGCACACGCCACCACCCTTGGGCACATTTTTCTTAAGTTTAAATCAACAAAGAAAGGGGCAAATATTTACCTGCTGGCTGAGGAGGCAGTACACCAGGAAGATGAAGACGCCCTGCAGGGTGTTGATGATGGTGAAGAGGTACGCCATGATTTGGGCAGCTGGACCCACCTGGAGGACGCCCAGACACCACGTGCAGCCCAGGATGAAGACCTGCGCTGTGGCTTTGAATGTCAGCATCCTGGTGGAGTAACAGGATGGTGGGAGAAGTTATAACTGACCGACAGCGCCCCTGTCAACCGTGAGGACTCTAGAGGTCGACGCCTGGTCATTGTGCAACCTTGTCAAGCCTTTCCTTTCTTCTTTTTTGGTGGTCCTGGGGTTTGAACTCACACTCTCTAGGTGGGCACTCCACCAGCCCTTTCCTGTTTTAGTTATTTTTGGGGTAGGATCTAATGCTTTTTTTGTTCAGGACCAGCCTCAGACTTCAATCCTTCTATCTATGGCTTCCTGTATAGCTGGGATTACAGATGTGAGCCACCATGTCTGCTTGTTTATTGAGATGGGGGTCTTGCTAACTTTTTGCCAGGCCTGGCCTCTAACTGTGATCCTCCTGATCTCTACCTCTCAAATAGCTGGAATTATAGATGTGAGCCACTGGCACCTGGCCCTTTACCTTCCTGTAATTCAGTTCCCTCATTTTTTTTTTAAAGACAGGTTCTCTCTGTATTATAGTCCAGGTCATCTTGGAACTAGTGGCCCTCCTGCCTCAGCCTCCTGAGTGCTGGGATTACAGGTGTGCACCACTATATCTGGCTTCCCTCATCTTTACAGTAGAGATGTTTCTTGGTTTATCTCAGGATTAAATCATGAAAGTATTGCTAAAATCAAACATGCACTCAGGGCTGGAGGAGTGCTCAAATGGTTAAGTGACTCCCTAGAAAATTTGAGGCCCTCAGTTCAAACCATGGTTCCACCAAAAAGTGCACTTAACACACCTAATCTACTGAACAGGCTAGCTGTTTAAACGCACTCAAAACAGGCACATAACCAGTCTCCAGCTGGGTGAAAGAATCTGACACAAAGCCTGTTTTATAATAAAGTGTTGAATCTCTCTTGTAATTTATTGACTATCATACTGAGAGAGAGAGAGAGAGAAGCTTCAGAATAGTTGTGTGGGTACATTTTACCATCATCCTAACGTTGAAAAACCCTAAATGAAAGCATCTTAAGTGTGGGACCGTCTGTACTCTGTAAGTGAGAAAAGACAACTGAGGAACAGTTTGAACAGCCCGTCCCTTTTGTGTATGTGTTTGTTTGTTCTACAAACAAGCACCGGGAAATATCATGCATGGCCAGATGCAGCAACTCACGCCTGTAATCCCATCTACTTGGGAGTGGAGATCGGGTGGATCGTGGTTCCAGACCAGCCCAGGCACGAAGCTGGAGAGACCCCTTCTCAATCCATAAGCCAGGTGTGGTGGTGTGTGACTGCGATCCCAGCTACAGAGGCTGTAAGTAGGAGGATCATGGGTCTGAGGCCAGCCCCAGGCAAAAACTTGCTAGGTAGGCACTCTATCACTTGAGCTACGCACCCATCCCTTTTTGTTACTTGTGAATGGAGTCTTGATTTTGTGTCCAGGCATGGTCCTTCTATTTACACTTCCCACAGAGCTGGGATAACAGGCGTGCACCACCAAGCCCAGCTTTTTATTGGTTGAGATGGGATCTCATGAACTTTTTGCCTGGTCTGGCCTCCAACCCTGATCCTCTCCACTTTTGCCTCCCAAGTAGCTAGGAATACAGGCATCAGCCACCATCCTATCTTCTAACCACTTCTCGAACCCACTGCCTCCTTTTTCTTTGCAGTACTGGGGATCAAACCCAGGGCCTTGCACCTGTGAGGCAAGCGCTCTACCACTGAGCTACGTCCCTGGCTCCCTTCTTGAACCTATTACACACAAGCGGAGTTGTACAAAATGATTATCTAAGTGATGGTTGGACATTGTTTTGAGTCATCCTGACTCAATTCTAGGGTTTCTGTGGAATTTAAGCTTTCAGTAACTGTTGGATTAGCAAATATGAGTTACAGTTGTTTTGTGGAACTGTGAGGCAGAAACTGCCAGCTTTTCCCTTCCTCCCTTTGAGTTCTATTGGGGCACACAGCCACCGTGTTAATATGGTTTAAAACTACATCTCCCAGCACTACTTGCAGCTGGGCCTCATCATGTGACCAAGGTTAGCCAATGGGATCTGAACAAATGTGGACGGCATAGCTTCAAGATGGTGTGTGGATGTGTAGGAGAGATGAGTAGGGTTGGGTGGAGGAAAAGGGAGTGGGGTGTGCCACCTGTCGTATCCTACCTTGTGTTCTGGATGGTTGACACGTCACTGTTGAGAGAGGAAAGTTTCCTTTTCAAAATCCAAAGGACAGAGACAAAAAGTACTAAATTCACCTGTAGAACAACGTAGACAAGGCAGACTGCAAGTTAAAATAATGTATGGGGTGCCAGGTGCCAGTGGCTTATGTCTATAATCCCAGCTGCTCAGGAGGCAGAGATCAGGGAGACTGTGGTTCAAAGCCAGCCTGAGCAAATAGAAAAAAACACCAGAAAAAGGGGCTGATGGAGTGACTCAAGTGGTAGAGTTTCTGTCTAGCAAGCATGAGGTCCTAAGTTCAAACCCCAGTACCACCACCCACAAAAAATAATGTATGGTGTCTCCTTTTCATTGCACATGTGTCCTGCCTCCATGCTGATGGTATTGAATTGGTAGCAGATGGAATATCAAATCCCAGAACAAAAATACATGCCCCTTGTATTACCTTTTTTTTTTAAACAGGGTTCAAACTTGTGACCCTCCTGCCTCAGTGTTCCCAGTGCTGGGATTATGGGTATGCACCACCATGCCCAGCTCCCCTGTACTATTTTATACCTAGCACTTCCAGTGTCCTTTCTTGAGTCAGGAACATAGGGGAGGACATGCATACTCACACAGACAATGGCACAGACTGGGCCAAGAAATCCCCAGATGAACCCCTTGTCCAGCTGGAGCCAGCAGCTGTGCACAAGAGAGAAGAAGAACAGAGAGAGAGAGAGAGAGAGATCAGAGAAAGTACGCAGACGTGAACGTGAAGTGACACTTTTCCCAGCCGAGAACTTTTCCAGTTCCCCTGCCAGCCAGCCGATGACAAGCAAACCTCTGATTGCTCAAAGGCTTTGAGATTTAACTGCAAAATTCTCTCTTCCAGAACCTTCCCAACCCTTGCTGCCATCTTGCTCTCTCTCACCAGAAGCTGGGTGAAGTCTAGCACAGAGACGAGTGCAGAGGGCCTTGGGTAGGTGGATCCAACTGCCATGGTGACAGTGTTCCCCAGAAGGAGCTGTCTGTGGCTCAGGGAACAGGGAAGCTCACCGGTCAGGTGTCCCATACAGGTGAGGCCTGGATGCTGCTGAAATGGCCACGATGACAGCAGGGACACCGTAGCCAGCTGGGTACATCATCCACTTCATGAATTTATTTATGCTGGAGTAGTTGACCACCGTCAGGTTGCGCGCAGTGAGGAACAGGTGCAGGCCCTCCAGAAGCATCCAGGTGAAGGACGCCAGGTAGAGGTAGTGCAGGGCGCCCGCCGTGATGGCGCACAGCACCTGGGGAGGAGGAGGCACGGGGGCAGGGGACATCTGGGTGGACGTGGCCACACGATCTCTCTTTTACGCTGGATTCAGAGCACCTGGTGTTAGACTAAGACTTTGCCCTTCTGCTCTCTGCTTTCGTGAGTTCAGTCTTTTAAGATTTTCCGCAAAAGTGAGATCATGAGTGTTTGTCTGTCTCCCTGGTTGACATCACTTGGCATAATGTCTTCCACCTGGAGCACGTGATGCCACATCCGTGTTGTCACCAATGAAAGGATTTCCTTCCTTTTGAAAGCTGAATAGTGTTCCAGGACATCAGCTTACAAGTGTCCCCCCTCCGCTCTCTACCAGGAAGATCAAAGGTTCCTTGCTGCAGACTTTATTTATTTATTTTTTTGCGGCACTGGGGTTTGAACTCAGGTCTCACTCGTATTAGGCAGGCACTCTACAACTTGAGCCTCCTACCAGACCACTTTAGAGGCTCATCATCCTGGAGCAGGCATGACAGGAATCTACAAAGCAACCTTCATGTAGCTGGGCATGGTGGGGCATGCCTGTAATCTCAGCACTTGGGAGGCTCAGGCAGGAAGATGGCCAGCCTGGGCTACATAGAGAGATCCTGTCTCAAAGAATAACCTGTCTAGTTGGAGGAGTCCCAGCTAAGAGCGCAGAAGGGTAAAGGGAAAATTGTTTTTCTCCTCTACATACCTAAGGCCATTTTTTTTGGTGGCACTGGGATTTGAACTCAGGGCTTCACGCTTGCTAGGCAGGCAATCTACCACCTGAGCCACTCTGCCAGCCCCCAAGGCCATTTTATGAAGGAACCTAACGTGGCGTAGTTCCTGGGGCAGGGCAGGGGCTGGGACTCCACCAGTACCTTGGGCTCCGTTCGGTCGATCGCCGTGAGGAAGAGGAGGTGGGCCAGGAAGAGGCAGATGGAGAGGTGCAGGTGCAGCGAGGTGCTGGTGTTCTGGATGGCCTTGCACAGCAGGAAGGTGAGGGCCGCCAGGAGGAGGCACAGCAGAGACAGGCTGAGCCCTACATAGGTGATGACAGTCAGCGCCAGGTCTTCCTCCTGGGTCCCAAAAGAAGAGGGCATGGTCACACTGTCCTCTCTGGGCTCTGGTCCTTCTGCCGTCTGCTGGGGCACCCCAATCACAGCAGGAAGCCGGATAAGAGAGGGAGGGCCTCTCTTATCGGATAAGATAAGAGTGCCTACCTGGAGACACTTTTTTTGTATACTTAATATGTACAAAGACACCTACTTAGTATAGACCTTTTGCTTTTGTTATTTTGATGGGACTGGGGTTTGAACTCAGGACTTTGTGCTTGTAAGGCAGGAGCTCTACTGCTTGAGCCACCCCTCCAGTCCATTTTGCTCTGGTGACTTTGGGGATGGCACTGCATGAGCTATTTGCCTAGGCTGGCTTTGAGCCTCAATTCTCCTGACCTCAGTCTCCCAAGTAGCTGGGATTACAGGCATGAGTGCTGGTGCCCAGGTATATAGACATTTTGATATTCTTCAACATACACTAAGAAGGGTGGCAGAAGATGTCACCCTAAGTATGCTACTTTGGCATGAAGACTGTTTATTCTAAAAGCATTTTAAAAGGCAGACATGGTGGTGAACACCTGTAATTTCAGAGCTCAGGAGGCTGAGGCAGGAGGATCTTAGTTCCAGGCCAGCCTGGGGCAAACAGCAAGACCTTGTCTCAAACAAACAACAAACAAATATTTTAAAAACCATCCAAGCTTGGCGTCAGTGGCTCACACCTGTCACCCTAGCTACTTGGAAGGCTGAGTTCAGGAGGATCGTGGTTCTAGGGACCCCCACCCGGCCAAAAGTTTGCAAGACCCCATCTTAACAGAAATAAGCTGGACGTTGTAATGCGAGCCTGTCATCCCATAGATAGAAGGAAGTGTAAAAATAGGATTATGGATTGTGGTCCAATCCAGCTTGTGCAAAAAGTGAGACCCCCCCCCCATCTCCAAAATAACCAGAGCAAAAAGGGCTGGAGTGTGGCTACAACCGTAGAGTGCCAGGCTAGCAAGTGTGACGCCCTGAGTTCAAATCCCACTACTGCAAAACAAAACAAAACAAAAACCGCAGAAGCACCAGGTGCAAGAAGGCACTCTGAGTTCCCCTTTTGCTTTCTGGAAAGGAAGAGATAAAGCTGCCATAAGGAAGATGTTCTCCCGATACCAGGGCAAGAAGCTGGCTTTCTTATCACCAGAGAAAATTCTGTACAAAGAAACCTTGTTAAATCCTTCCCAGTCACTTCTCTACCTTGTGAGCAGCCTTGTTCCAAGGCCCTCTGTTTTTGTGACACGCTTAATAGCTTGTTACTTGGTCCCTTCCTTTTCTCTGTACCTCCCCCACCCTCTCTTCCTTCCTTCCTTTTTTGAAGCCAGAAATAGAGGTCAGGGTGGCACTCAAAGCCAGACAACTGGTCTACCAGTGAGCTACAGCTCCCCCTTCTTCCCCCCTTTGTTATTTTCTTTTGTTACCATCTGATCTTTGTCAGGATCAGATATCTGATACATTGTAAGAACCTTTCTAAATGCCACAATGTACTCCCACCCAGCACAACAATAAAGGAAAAAAAAAAAAAGAAAGTAGGTGAGCCCTCTGTATCTATGGGTCCTGAATATGAGGACTCAACCAATCTTGGATGAACTGGGTCTCTGCTGAACAGAGAGACATTTTTTTTGTTGTCATTCTTCCCTAAACAAGGCCATCTAACAAGTATTTCCAAGCCGGGAGCTGCTGGCTCACGCCTGTAATCCTAGCTACTCAGGAGGCAGAGATCAGGATTGAAGTTTGAAGCCAGCCTGGGAAAATAGTTCGTGAGACCTTACCTCAAAAAACCCATCACAAAAACAGGACTGGTGAAGTGGCTCAAGGTGAAGGCCCTGAGTTCAAGCCCCAGTACCGCAAAATAAACAAACAAAAACCAAGTATTTTCATAGCACTGGTGTTATATTACACGGTGTAAGTCGTGTGGACATGATGTAAAGTCTACAGGAGGAGGTGCATGGCTTCCTTGTGGGGATTACAGTATTTCATACAACAGACACAAGCATCCTTGGGTTTTCCTATCTCAGGGGGTCCTGGAACCAATGTCCCATAGATACTGGGAGACGACCGTGTGAGGGAGAAGGAACACTTGCCCCTTACCTGGTTGGTCAAGGCCATGAGGACAGCAAAGCTGGACAGATGTGTGGTGTTGCATACGGTGTGACTGTCGTTTACACTCACCAAGAAGCAACCATCTGTGGACCAGTGGCTGCCCCACCCTGTGACCTTCCAGTAGACACACAAGGTCTCCTTGTTTCTGGGCTTCATCTGAAAGTAGAAGGAGCTCACTGTCATCCCTTCCAGGAAGGATGAGGCTCAGAATGTCATTCCACTCCAGCTGCCCATGAGAAGGCACTGTGTGAGGAGCCACTCGGGTGACGTCTGTTAAATTTTTTTTTTATTTTATTTTTAGGGATGGGGGAATGGATCAAGCAGTAGAGCACCTGCCTAGCAAGTGCAAAGCCCTGAGTTCAAACCCCAGTCCTACCATAAAAAAATGTATTGGATTGATCATGTAGAGACTTTTTTCTTGTCCTTATTCCGTAAGCAGTACAGCACAACTGTTTACACAGCACTTACATTGTGTTAGGTATTCCGTTACCTAGAGATGATTTAAAACAGAATAGTGAAGTCTCTATGCAAATGCTATGTCATTTTTATAAGGGACCTGAGCACCATCGATTTTCATAAGCACAGGGGGTCCTGGCAATAGTCACCCCCAGGATACCAGGGGGAGGGATCCATGAAATCTTGACTTAGATCTGGCTCCCACATTGGACAACACAGGTCTGTGGAACCACTGCCTGGGGATTGTCTACAAATTACCTTGGTGTACTTTCCCAAAGGCCACCAAGCTCATATGGCAGTTCTGACTCACCTTGATGTGACTTAAAGTCAGAGTCACGAACTGGAGGGGAAATGAGCTCCTGTTGGGTCCAATGGCTGCACTCACTATCTGGGAGTTCAGGTAAACTGGTTCCTTGTGGTCCATCTCTTCTTGGAAGACCACGTATGATGGCACTCTCTCCGTCATCTCAAAAAAAGTTTCGTTTAGGATGTTTCCAAGAGAAGAATAGGAGATAAAGGCAATCGCACTGGGGCCTGACGAAACAGAAAATGGAGTCTTCACAAGTGTCACGAGGGGGTCTAAGTTTATATATTATATATTGTATAAGTTCAATTCAAATACAAAGCCTTGTCACCTACACACAGAGCTATATACAGAGCATATACCCCAAAGTGGTGGCAGAGGAGACCAAGGGAGGGGGAAAGAAGGAAAGAAAGAATGAGTAATAAGGAAATGTGTCACATCTGTGTAGGAACAAGACACAGTGAAACACAGGATGGGGGAAAAGGGCGAGGAAGTGTAGTGTAGGGGGATTACAGTGACTTGAACACAATACATTTTTAGGTAAAATACTAAGACAAACATTCCACTGAACAAGGAACAGACCCTAAACAATGGAGGACAAGAATGAAAACCAGATCAGGCTGAGGGGAGGTCACAGAGGGAGAGGAAGCAGAAAAGAAGGAAGTTGAGGTGAATGTGGTTGATGTACTTCTTGTACAAGAGTGGACAGAAACTTCTCAAACCTGTTGAACTCACAAGAAGGGGACTAAGAAAGGAGGAAAATAGAGTGGATGAAGCAATTCAAGTTCGAACACATATATACATGGAAATGTCGCAGTCCAAGTCCCTGTATAACCATCATAAACAAACAAAAATGTCTTTTTTCAAAAATGGAGAGCAGGAGGCAAATGGGTCCTGTGTGGGCTTGACACCAGAGAGATGGGGAGGATATAAGGAAAGGGTGAAAGAGGTGAATGTGGTGGAAATATTAGGTACTCGTGTATGAAAATGGAGAAATGAGACCTGTTGAAACTATTCTAAGAAGGGGTGTGAGGGACAAAGGAGAATGACAGAGGGGGTGCATCTGACCAAGATACATTGTAAGCACTTTCATAAATGTCACAATGTTCCCCAGTACAACAATATATGATAATGAATAAATAAAAGAAAAAAAGGCGTTGCGAGGATTGGGTCCGTGGCTCAGTGATCAGGCACACATGTGGCCCTGGGTCCCATCCCCAGCACTGCAAAACATAAAATAAACTAAAAAAGAAATAAAAAGATCTCCCACTTTTCCTCAAGGGGAACCTTGCTTCCTCACACTGGCCCAGCCCTCGTCCTCCTCACGCCTGTGCTCAGGGACTTCCCTTCCTGTCCAAATCCAACTCATCCTCAGTCCGAGTTCAAACCCAGACCCAGGCTCAGGAAGAAGACTTGTCCAGCTCCCAGCAGCAATGCCAAACTGAGCGAGGACTGGAACTGCCCACTGAATTTGCTCGCATGTGAAGCAAATTCTATTTTCCCAACAGACAAAACCTGTTTTATTTTGGTGGTGCTGGGATTTGAACTCATGACCTTGTGCTTGCTAAGCAGGCACTCTCCTGCTTGAGTCACACCCTCAGCAGTCCTTTTGTTTTTAGTTTGTTTTTTGGGTAGGGGTTTGTGCTAACGAGGCCGGCCTTATATGGTGATTCTCCTACCTCTGCCTCCTGAGTAGCTGAGAGCACAGGCCTGCACCATCGCTCCCAGCTTATTTTTGAGATGAGGTCTTGCTAAGTTTTGCGTGGGCTGGTCTTGAACTGCAATCCTTCTGCTCCCAAGTGCCTGGGATTACAGGTGTGCAGTGCTACCACAATAGGCCAAGGTTTGGTATTTTATTTAGAATGTTAGCTGTCACACTAATCACTGTCAGGATTTGCCTCGCTCATGGACCTTCTTTGGTTCTTTTTAAGTATGGGGTCCATATTTTTTTGAAAGTCATGGGATGGATTTGAACTCAGGGCTTTGTGCCTGTCAGGCAGGTACTCTATTGCTTCAGCCACTCCTCCAGCCCTTTCTGCTCCGGTCATTTTGGAGATAGGGTCTGACTTTTTGCCCAGTCTGAGCTGGATTGTGATCCTCCTATTTTATGCTTCTTCCCATAGCTGGGATGACAGGAATGCACCTTGGTGACAAGGTACAGGTGTCATTATGTAGTTACATTCTTAAACAGAGGCAGAGTGTCTTGTTTTTGAAACAGGCTGGCTTTGAACTTGAGACCCTCCTGCCTCACCCACCCTCCCGAGTGCTGGGATTACAGGCATGTACCACCACACGTGGCATCAGATTCAAGTTCTGGAGGGAGGAGGAGCTAGCGATAGGAAGTTCGTGGCTTCATGGCTCCTAGAGACGTTTTCGGTTCATGTGTGTTTTGTCGTCTTTACCTTGAGATTTGGGTGGCAGTAGAGCCAACTGTAGCATTTTACGTATATGAAATTGAATTTTAAGACCCCGGTTTGGTCTGAATGTGTCTTCCAAAAGTGTTGAGAAGTGGGGCCTTTGGGCAGGTGTCCAGGTGACAAGGCACTGCTCATGTGACTGGATGAGGGCCACCACACGTGGACTTGGTAGAGTTTTGTGTCACCCTTCCTCCTCCCGCCATGGGATGAAACGACAGAAGGCGCTCGCCAGACACCAGCGCCAGGCTTCCAGCCTCCAGAACTACGAGAAATAAATTTCTCCTGTTTACACACTCTCCACTCTCAGGAACTCTGCCACAGCAACCCGAAGGGACACAGAGACCCCATTTCTGATGCTGGAGCTGCCCCAGTTATATGGCAAGGATGGGACACCATATTCAAGTTAAGAATCTGAAAGTTTTCTTTTGAAAAATCAGAAAGTCTGGTAACCCCAGGGCAACTAGTAACAACAGTCCAGCCGGGTGCTTGTGGCTCACGCCTGTATCCCAGCTACTTGGGATCGGGAAGATTGACGCTGGAGGCCAGCTTGCCCAAATAGTTCCCAAGACCCCATCTCCAAAATAACCAGAGTGAAATGGACTGGAGGCGTGGCTCAGGCAGTAGAGAGCCTGCTTGGCAACTGCGAAGCCCTGAGTTCAAATCCCAGTCCCACCATTAGTAAAACCAAACCCATTAAAATTGTTTTTAGAGAGGGGGGAGGGTCAGGAAAGAGCAACAGAGGGGGTGGATTTGATTAGAGTGCATCATTTGCCTAATGCAAATGTTACAATGATATTTTTGTGTGTGCAATTAACATATGCTAATGAGAAAAGAGAGCCAGAGCTCTCTGTCTCCACACACGGCCCTCCTGGTTCTGTTGCTCTGGGAGCTCAACACGCTGGCTGGTGTCCTCCCGTGGCTTTCCAGACAAGCCCCTCGCACCTGTCCCAGGGCCACCATGCGGGTGAGCTCGAGGCAGAGTGGCCCTCACCCCCAACTCGCACCACTGTCCCCTCCATGGTGAAGAGCAGCGGCCTTCGTTTTGGGGATGCTACCAGGGCCCTGGGATGATGCGGTCGGAGGGGCCAGAAGTCCGGGAAGGACGATGGTCGTGCTGTCACACCCACCATGGGGGTTGTCCCGCGTGACATCATCGCAGTGCAGCTGCACGGAGTTGCTTTGCGTGGTGAGGGTCACCAACTTCCTGTCCTCCGAGCACTTGTTCCTGAGCACATGCGTGGTGATAGCTGCAGGGGACAGGAGACACAGGCTTAGCGATGTCATGCTAAACTTTGCAAGTGTGCACAGCCACACACAGTTGAGTCACCGAACGCTAAGGGACTTACTTGGAATGTTGCCTGTAACAGCTCCTAAACCCACCATTGTACAGATGAGGGAAGTCAAGTCCAGAAGTCAGACGACACTACCATTTTCTACCTACGTCACTTTTGTTTTCAGTATTGGGCTTTGCACTTGGAAAGCAGGGGCTGTACTGCTGGAGCCACCCCTCCAGTCCATTTTGCTCTGCTTATTTTGGAGATGGGGTCTCATGAACTATTTGCCTGGGCTGGCCTCCCAACTTCTATCCTCCCAATTTCAGCCTCTCAAGGAGCTAGGATTACAGGTGTGAGCCACCAGCATCTGGCTTGTATTTTATTTTTGACATGGGGTCTTGCTAACTTGTGCTCAGGCTGGACTTCAACTTCAGCTCTTTCTGCCTCTGCCTTCTGAGTGTCTGGGATTACAGGTGTATACCACGATGCCCAGCCCTTGTTTTGTTGTCAGACAGGGTCTTGGTATGCTGGAACTCACTGTGTAGCCCAGGCTAGCCTCAAACTCACGATCCTCCTGCCTCAGTGTTCTGAGCGCTGTGATTACAGATATGTGCCACTGAGCCCAGCTCTAAGAAAGCTCTTTTGAAGAAACAATTCTATTTATAGGAACTTACTCTCAGAAAACAATTATGAACACAGGGAAGACTTAGCCACAAAGAAGTTCCCAGAAGCACAGGTGATAAACGGGAAAATAGAGTCACCCGAATGTTGAACAAGTAGGACTTCATTTAGTTGAAGTCCTACTTAATGGAAAACCATGTTTTCAATAAAAAACAAGTTGGGGCAGGGTGTAGCTCAGAGGTGAGCGCACTTAGCATTAGTGATGACCTGGGTTTGCCCCTCAAGAATGCCACCCTTCGAAATCACAAAAGTATTGCAATCGAGAAACTCATGCTGGGATTGGAGATCACTGGCAGTCATCTTAAAAACAACCACCACCAGGTTTTAGTTGAGTGCAGTGGTACACACCTGTAATCCCAGTGCCCAGGAGGCTGAGACAGGAAATGGTGAGTTCCAGATCAACCCAGCTACACAGAGAGACCCTGCCCAAAAAAATCAGCTTCCATTGAGGTGCAACTGATGTGCAATATACCGCATGTATCACAGCGCACAATTTGTTGGGTTTTATTTACACCTTGCAGTCCTGTTACTGTGAACTGTACCCCCATTGTGTCCCCATATGCTCTCCTGCCTCTGTGTCACCCTCTCTCCCTCCCCTTCCTCTTACTATAGATAACTGTGACTTTTCAGCAGTTTATTTAAAAGGATTCATACGGTGTATCTACTTATTGCTCTCTTTCTCTTTTTTTTTTTTGGCAGCACTGGGATTTGAACTCCGGGCCTCACGCTTGCTAGGTAGGCGCTCTACCTCCTGGGCCACTCTACCATCCCTGTTTATTGCTTTCTGATTGTTTAACAGAGACCCTGGCTGGTAGCCCGTCCCAAAAGTGTGTCATCCTTATGGTCGTCTTACCCACAGTGCTGTTTTGGACTTTCTGCAGTCTTAGCTCTGGGGCTTTCAAGGCAGCTTCTAGAGCCATTGTTTCCGTGCTCTGGAGGAGAGCTGAAGCTGCAAGTGCAATTTCTCCCTTGTTTCCTGTTTCCCGTAACGTCTTGTTAGTGAGAAGTGACTCGATGTTGTTGACGACTTCTTGCAGCTTTGAAGACATAAAAATGAAAAGGTTGAAAACTAATGTGGTCAGGTGCTGTGGTTCACGCCTGTAACCCCAGCTACTTGGGAAGTGAAGATCGGGAGCATCATGGTTTGAGGCTAGCCCAGGCAGAAAATTAGTGAGACATCTCAACAAGCAAGCTGGATGCAGTGGCTTGTGCTTATAATCCCGACTATGTGGGAGGCATAGATAGGAAGGATCTCTGTCTGAGGCCAGCCCTGCAAAAATGTGAGACCCTACCTGGAAAATAACTAAAGCAAAAAAGGGCTGGCGGAGTGGTTCAAGTGGGAGAGCACCTGCCTAGCAAGTGTGAGGTCCTGAGTTCAAATCCCAAGACTGTCAGCAAACAAACACACACACACAAGTGGTATGTTTACAGTTATATATATATAGTGATAGATGTGTGCATATGCACAACGGTTATATATAATTTCATCCACATTATCATAATGTAAAAGTTAATATTGTATAATTAATGCACATTAGCGTTATCTAATGAAATACTGTTATGCAGTATAATGATATATAATGCATAGTTAATTAATATATAAACGCATAATATTGCATATTTAAAAAATGTATAGTTTCCTTTTTTTTTTTTTGCAGTACTGGGGTTTGAACTCAGGACCTTCATCTTGAGCCACTCCACCAGCCCTATTTTTTGTGAAGGGTTTTTTGAGATAGGGTCTCGTGAACTATTTGCCCAGGCTGGCCTCAAACTGTGATCCTCCTGATCTCTGCCTCCTGAGTAGCTGGGATTACAGGCATGAGCAACAGGTGCCCGGCTAGTTTTTGTTTGTTTGTTTATTTCAGGTAGGATCTTGTTACATACATTACTTAGGTTGGCCTTGAACTCATTCTGTAGCTCAGGCTGGATTTCATCTCACGATCCTCCTTCCTCAGTCTCTCTAGTGCTGAGATTATGGGCGTGCACCACTATGCTTGGCTTAAATAATAAGTAATCAATCATGTATAAGATCCTTAAAATTATTATGCATATGGAACCGAATATTTGTTACAGCTAGATTTATCTCTCTCTGAATGATATATGCCCCCTACTTATGTTGACTTCTCGTTGCCAGTTCTGGGCTCCATCAATCCCTGTTACCTGGTGTCTGTCACCTGCCCAGGCTCTGGGAAGCAGCCTCCACTCACCTCTTCCTTGCCTCTGGTTGTCGTAGAGGAGTTGCTCTCTGCAAAAGACGCGAAGTGGGTCACTGTGGGGACGGAGTGAATGGGTGGCTGGCTGGTGGGTAGGGTGGGTGGTTTTTGTACCTACAATTGAACTCAGATTCCATGTTCGCAGATGAGGGCATTGCTCTCTTGGGGAAATCGCACCCCGAGTTTCTTATCATGAAGCAGCACACTTGTCTTTAACTGGGGACAATGCTGCCCACCCAAGGGACGTTTGGCAATGTCCGGGCTCACTGGTGTCACAACATGGGGGGTGGAATGTCCTGGGTACAGTCCAGGACTCTGCTCAGCACCCTTCAGTGCACAGAGAGCCTTTCCACCAGGCGCTACCAGAGCCTGGAGATCAGAATTGCTGGGGCAAGCCCGTGGCTCACGCCTGTAATCCCAGCTACTGGGGAGGCTGAGATGCAGAAGGTTGTGGTTTGAGTCCAGAAATAGTTCTCAAGACCCCATCTCCAAAATAAGCAGAGCAAAATGGACTGGAGGTGTGGCTTGAGCAGCAGAGCACCTGCTTTGCAAGTGCAAAGCCCCGAGTTCAAAGCCCAGTCCCACCAAAAAGAAAAAAAAGTAGAAAGAAAGTTACTGTGGCAGAGAACCCCGGGTGTAGGAGTAGCAGGAAAAGCATAAATTTGAAATTCTTCTTTTCTATTTTGTCTGGACATCATGGCTGAAATGACCAAGGAAACAGAAAACCAGCAGTCTCAGGTTCTATAAGTCGCCCAGGCTGGGAATTACAACCATTAATTTTCCCAGAAAGCTTTTGGCTCCCAGCTCCAAAACAAAATCCTCAAAAAATGTGAATTTAAAGCATCTTTTGTTTTTTGGCGGGACTGGGGTTTGAACTCATGGCTTCATGGTTACAAGGCAGGTGTTCTGCTGCTTGAGCCACACCTCCAGCCCTAAAGCATCCTTTTTTGGTTATGAGCGACTGATGGACCTTTTTTTTAACAGTCAATTTTTTATAATATTATTGTTGTGCTGGGGACACACTGTGACATTTACAGACATTCTCACAATATATCAGTTGCAGTCACCCCTCACCACTCTCCTTTATCCCTCATTCCTGGAGTAGTTTTAGCAGATCTCATTTTTCCATTTTCATACATGAGTACATAATATTCCACCACGTTCACCCTCCTTCACCCTTTCTTCATGTCTTCCCCCTCCCACTGGTGCCAGCCTGTTTTGCCTTCCTGTGACCGACGGACATTTGTGCTGTTTCCTATGACTTGTGAGGACAACGTTCTCTTTTCTAGAAAGATCAGGAAGAGCCAACACCTGTCACCACCAGGCTGAGGTTAAACCTATCCTCTTTATCTGGCTTTCAGCTCAGGTTATTTGCTGCAAAGGGCAAAGAGCTTTCTTGTAGTACTGGTGGCTTTGTCGTGAGTTCAAGCCACCACCTTGAGTCTAATATGTTTCTTATACGAAGCCATATTTGTCGTACAAAAATGTTCTTTGCCCAACAGTTGCAGCCTGAAGGCGAGGGGCTGCCAATCTGGGGGATAACTACCGTCCAAATGGCCTTAATCTGTCTCAGAAGAACTCTTCAAACCAGGAAAATAACCAAACCGGCCTTCTTCCCTTGTAAGATGAGGTGATGTTAACAGATTGACATCAGGTCCCCTCCTGTAGGGCCAGCGGAGGGACCCATTGCCTAAGGTTAGGGCAGGGCTGGGTTACATCCCCAAGCACCAACCAAGAAAAACAAAAATGAGAAATTCGGCTTAAGCTTAATCTCATTAATTCATTCTACAACTATTTATTTATTATTTATTTATCCAGCACTGGGGTTTGAACTCAGGGTCTTGTGCTTGCTAGGCAGGCACTCTGTACCTGAGCCAATCCGCAGCCCTTTCTGCTTTAGTTACTTTTTAGGCAGGGCCTCATGTTTTTTGCCCAGGGCTGGCTGTGGAACCATGATCCTCTTACCTTCACCTCCCATGTAGGTGGGGATTATAGGTGTGAACCACCATGCCCAGCCTACAACTGTTTCTTGAATGCCTGAGCTAGCAACATGGCCCATGGGAAGGGTGGGTTGATGGCTCAGTAATAATGTCCCTTTGTCTCATTTCCCCACTGGAGTCACGGCTCAGACTCCCCCCCCCAACGCCGAGACCCGGGTGTGCCCCGTGATTGGGATCTTGGGAGATAGCGAATTTGGGCTTGAATCAGGCACAAATGCCTCCCCTTGGGATAAAAATACTCTTGATATTAGTGACTGAACTTCCCATGGTCTTGCTGGCTGAAGCAATCGTTTTTTTCCCCTTCTCTTCTCTTCTCCCTTCCCTCTTTCTTTTCTTTTGCACAGTGCTGGAACAAACATCAGACCTCATGCATACTAGGTGAAAGTAACTTCTCTCACTCTCTCTTTTCTCTGTCTTTTTGGTAGCACTGGGATTTGAACTCAGGGCCTCACGCTTGCTAGGCAGGTGCTCCACCACTTGAGCCTCTCCACCAGCCTTTTTTTTTTTGATGGATTTTTTCAAGGTAGGGTCTCGCAAACTATCTACCTAGGCTGACTTTGAACCGTGATCCTCCTGATCGCTGCCTCCCGAGTAGCTGGGATTACAGGTATGAGCCACTGTGCCTGGCTGAGTTTAGCTTTGAAGTCTCTCTATATCTCTAGGTGGTGGTCTGAGTTCTATTTATTTTCCACTGAGTAGAGATTTTTCCCATGTATTTGATGGCTACAACATGGCAGCTTCTCTGGGCACAGGTCCTAGAGTGGGTACATGACTCCAACTGGGACAAGTTGCCCATTTCCAAAGAATCTGCAATTGGGTCCAAGAGCGTTTGTTAACTAATCTCCCTTTGGTTGGTTGGAGCAGAAACCAGGGAAGATACGGAGCTGTGCGTGGACATATTTTCATCTTCTAGCCTAGGAAGCAAAGCCAGCCTCCAACCTTAGAGAAGAAGGGAACAGACCCAGCGAGGATGAGAGGAATGACAGGGGCACAGCTTTGAGTTCTCACTTCCCGTTCATTCCAGAATCCTAGTGTGTTGTTGACCCTGAGCTCAAAGCCCATCTGTATATCCGTACCATAAACCCATCTTTCCTGCATAAGGAAGCTCAGGTTACTTTCTCTTTCTTGCAATTCGAAGAATTCTGGCTTGGAGTAGCGGTTCAAGTGGCGGAGCACCTGCCTAGCAAGCGTGAGGCCCCGAGTTCAAATCCCAGTGCCATAAAAAAAGCATACATTGCAAGGATCTGTCTCAGTCACCACCATACAACTTCCTCCACCCCCAAGCTACACTGACCGTTCTCACCAGGAACTTGAACTTGTCTTTGTTCTCTCCTTTCCTTTCCATCACAGAATGGATTCTACTCTCACAAGAAGACCAGCTATGGCGTTAGACGCAGTGCAAAACGAGGTAGGAGGGCAAGAGGACAAGAGGGTTCTTACTCTGACACGTGTTCTCAGTGGAATTCTTGAATGTCACACCGCCAGAAGCCAGTTGGTATCCAGACACACAGCGACAGTGGAAGCTTCCTTCCGTGTTCTCACACTCGCCATTTAATCCACAATACACACTGATAGGTGGTTGACATTCGTTGATATCTGGAGCCCAAAGGAGAAATTCAGTCATTTGCTCAACAAGGATTTATGAACCTAGTATGTACATTGTGTCCTTTCCCTAAGAATCTGTCTTTGCTTCCTAAAACGAATCAGTGTAAGTACTGTCGATGATTATGTTTTTTGGCGGTGCTGGGATTCGAACTCAGAGCCTCACGCTGGCTGGGCAGGTGCTGTACTCTTGAGCCACTCCTCCAGCAGGTCGTCTCCCTTTCTTCACTGACTTTGGTAGATTTGCAAGCAGCAGTCATTTTTTTTTTCTGTTGCTGTCATAACTAACTGAAAAAAACAACTTACAAGGAGGAAAGGTTTGGTTTTCAGGGTTTCAGGGCTTCAGCCCATGGCCCACCAGCTCTGTTGATTCTGGGTCATGGTGAGGCAGACATGTCGTGGCAGAAGGCCAGGAGGAGCAAAATTGCCAGTCCAGGAAGCAGGGGAAAAGACAGAGAGTGACACAGGACAAGACAGACCCCCAAGGAACCCCCCCACCTACTTCCTCCAGCTAGGCCTCACCCTGGAAGTTTCCACCACCCCCCATGACGTCATCCAATTAAGAGGTCAACGGTGGATCGATCCGTTGATGACGTCAGAGCCCTCATGATGAAATCCCCTCTCAATGACTGGATCCACCAGCTGGGACCCGATTTTCAAAACACGAGTCTCTTTTTTTTTGGGGGGGGGGGAGGAGACACCTCCTAGTCAAATAATAGCATAGATATTGAGATAAAAGTTCGGATATTTTATTTGGGCAGCGATGCCAGTAAACACTGGGAAGGAAAGGCAAAAAATGGGATATTTTTGAGTAAGTTCCTGTGACTGGGGTTCAATTCCTGTGGTGACCACTCGGTGGCAGTATAGAGCACCGCCATGATGGTACCTGAAGGATGAGGACTCCGGGCTTTTCATCGGTCATCGCCCGCACATTACTGATGGAGGAGGTGTTCGCTTCCCAGTACTTGTGTGGGGGCTGAGTGGTCTCCAGCAGCCAGTCGCTCTCAGAGCTGATGTGCAAAGGGACGGTGCCCACGCCTGTTACCATGCACGGAAGTCCCAACCCTCTGTATCTGCGAATTGGACTGTATTTGGAAATACGGTCCTTTAAGATATAACCAAATTACGGTGAAGTCCTCAGGGTAGGGCCTAATCCAATATGGTTGATGTCCTTCTAAGAAGAAGCCATGTGAAGACAGAGACACAGGAAGAAGGCCATAGGATAACCAAAGCAGAGATTGGAGTGATGTGGCCACAAGCCAAGGAAAGCTGAGGGTTGACGGCCACCACTGGAAGAGGGACAAGGCAAGGAAGGGTAATTTCCTAGGAACAACATGGGATGTGGCCATGTTGATGCCTTGATTTTCAGACTTCTGGTCTCCAGAACTGGAGACCTCCTAAAGATGACAATTTCAACATGAAATCAATATCAGATTTGACCCAGCTTTATTGGGGGAATCATTGACAAGCCAAGAATTTCTATAATTAAGGTATTATACCATGTGATGTTTTTATAGACAATATACATTAAGAACTGACTCCTAGAGTGAAATATCTAATTTTCCAGGTCTTGAATATCTAGTGCATATTCGAGATTGACAGTACACCTTAATTTGGATGCTAAATCTTCTTCAGAAATACTTGTACTTATGTTTTATAAAGTTATCAGTTAAAACCAGAGATCCACACTGCCAAGCTGCTTCAAAAACACTCAACGCTGTCCAGAAACCAAATTGAACTCTGAAATGTCATTTTTCTTTAATGTCCACATCTACCTTGGCAAAACTGGTTCATTCTTTTTAGAGGATTTCATTCAATTTTTGAGCCACAAGTATTTTAGTTTCCAGCAGTTTAGTTTAAATAAATTCACTAAATCTGTGTCAACTTGGCATTGTTCAGCCTTTTGTTATGAACAGATATTAATTGTACAGGTTAGTGGGTTTCACTGTGACATTTCCATACATGTGTATAGTCAAGCCTCAATCTTATCCCTCCTCCCTTGCCCTCCCCAGTCCCTGTTCCTCCTCACCTTCCCTGTCTTAGGTCATCTTTTTTTTTAAGTGACCATCATCAAGAACACAAACTCTTGGACATATATCTGAAGGAGTGTAAGCAATGAGCCACCTGCACACCCCTGTGTATTGCAGCTCTCGTCGCAATAGCCAAGCTGTGGAAAATGTGATATATATTATGGAATATTACTCAGCCATGAAAAATTGAAATTATGTCACTTGCAGGAAAATGGATGGAACTGGAGATCACCGTGTTGAGTGAGATACACCAAGCTCTGAAGTCCAGCTACTTCATTTTCTGGGTCATTTGTGGAAGTAGATCTAAAGTGATGATGACAATCTGAGGGTAATGGTATAATGGGACATACATGTGGGAGGGGGACGGGCTGGGGGATCAGCAGGAGGGAAGCCCACTGCATACACACCTCTGAGGACTGAATAATGAAACCCACGAAACCCTGTTTGAAAGAGGGGTGAAGAGGCAGCTGGAGGATGGGGACATAACGGAGGGGGTGGGCTTGTTCCAGGTACCCTGTACACATTACCACAATGAAATCCCCTGCTGGTATTAATATACACTAATTCCAAAGATAAAACTATTTTTAAGAAATGTTCCTGCATATGAGAGAAAGCAAGGCACATGGCATTTCTGGGTGTAGCTCATTTCTGTGACACACTTTGATCAGTGACGTGTAAGTGAGTGGTGGTCAGGGGTGAGCAAGAGGAGGGGAAGGATTTATTTGGGGTGGGCTTAGGCCACACGTTGACCACCCCACTCATCGCCCAGGAAGAGAAGTGTGGGGGCTCCCCCTGCACCTCAAACCAAGAGAGGCAGAGCTTAAGGACGTCGTTGAGCTGTCTGTGGGGACCCAGTGCACCGGCCCCTGTTTCCCTCTGAGAAGTCTAAGGAGGGAGCCACTGGCTTGCGATGGGGTCCACACGACACGTCTGCTGCGTGTGATCGTACCGTCCTCCATGGCAAACGGTGCCATGGCAAACAGTTCCCTAGGACTGGAGGTGGGTCGTGGACGTGGTTAGCATGGGTGCCTAGGTTCTGCCCAAGAATGGATGTCACAGAAGAAACCGGGAGAGCCCAGGGTTTCCCTGGGACGACGAAGGCTAGGGTGACATTTGGTGTTACTGAGAGAATTTCAGGGGAGTGACTGTGTAGAGGAGGAAGAGGGCTCCAAAAAACCCACAGAGCCCGCCATGGAGGGAGCTGGTGCTGTTCACGAGAGCCAAGTTTTGGAAGCAATCCAGATGCCCTGCAACTGAAGAATGATCAAGAACGCGTGGCGTGTACACTGTGACACGCGTCATGCAATGGAGTGTCACTCAGCCATAAGGAATAAGGACGTGTGGTTTGGAGTGGGTGCCGTTGGAGGCCATCATGTTAAGTGAAGGCAGCCAGGTCCAGAAGGCCAAAAGCCACCTGCGTTTTGTCGGATGTGGAGTGTAGACCTAACACGACTACAGCAATGTCATGACCACAGGTCACGCTAAGGGGAGGTCACTGAGGGAGAGGGACGGTAAAAGAAGAACTTGAGAAGGTGAATGTGGCTGATGTACTTCCTATACAAGAGTAAATATGGAATCTTCAGGCCTGCTGAAATGACCAGAAGAAGGGGATTAAGGTAGAAAGGAGAAAAAGAGAAGGGATGAATGAATTCAGGACATAATAGATGCAAGTGTCGCAAGGAAACTCCCTGTGTAACCATCTTAAACAAACAAAAAAAGCCTTTCCAAAACAGAGAACAGGAAGTTGAAACAGGTCCTGTCTGGGGTTGGTAACTGTGGGAAGGGGGATGTGGGAAGGGGTGAAGGGGGGTGAACATGGTGGAATATTATGCACTCGTGCATATGGAGAAATGAGACCTGTTGAAGCTATTCCAGGAATGGAGGGAGAGAGGATAAGGGAGAATGGTGGAGGGGTCAGAACTTTGGTAGATGTCACAGTGTGCCCCAGTGCAACAATAATCTGATAATAACAATAATAATAAGTAGCAAACAGAAAAAAAAGCAAGTATCTGCTGGATGTCACACACAGAGACGCCAAGTCACAGCAGAATCGCTCATTCCTGGGACACCTCTTCCCCTCTCAATGAGCTGAGTCAAGGGCAGACTTTTCTGTTTCTCGCTCTTTCTCTCTCTTGGGTTCCAGTCCTCTGAAGGTCCCAGGAACAAGGGTGAAATGTGCCCAGTGGGGAAAGAGGAAGGAAGCCAATGACCTCCTCCTCCGACTGCAGGGAGAGGGAACAGCCCCGTATTTTCTCAAGTCTGAAGTGTCTGTTATTCTGTCCATGAGTTGAGATTACATTCTGCATGTTAGGTGACTTTGTATTAGAAAAGTTTCCGCCCTCTGTTTCTGTTTGCTTTTGAGACAGGGTCTTGCTGTGTAGTCCAGCCTGGCCTCACACATGTGATCCCCCTGCCTCAGCCTCCCAGGTGCTGGGATTGTAGACATGCACCGCTCTACCTGGTGCCAGGTTTTAAAAATAATTTTTGTTGTAGGTATGAATGGGATTTACTGATTTTTCTATCACCCCCTTCTGCTCTCACCCGCCTCACTTTCCCTGCACCCCTCCCAGCCCTGCTAATCCTTGTTCTACTTTCACGTTGACTTATTTTTCTTTATGCTTTTGGTGGGACTGGGATTTGAACTCAGGGCCTTGCACATGCTAAGCAAATGCTCTACCGCTTGAGCCACAGCTCCAGTCCATTTTGCTCTGGTTATTTTAGAGACGGGAGTCTCAATTTTTGCCCAGGCTGGCCTTGACCTGCCATCCTCCTGTTTTACTCTTCTCACTGTCTCTGGGATGGCAGGTATGTGCCACCAAGCCAGCTTTTTTGCATTGAGATGAGGTCTTGTGAAATTTTTTGCCCGGTCTGGCCTGGAACTGAGATCCACCCAATCTCATCCTCCCAAGTAGCTGGGATTACAGGTGTGAGCCATCAGTGCCTGGCTCCTTTTTACTTTTTAGTTTTCACTGTAGGAGAGAGAACACATGATGCTTGTTTCTGAGCCTGGCTGAAGTCACTTAACAAAATGACCTCCCGTTTCATCCATTTTGCTACAAATGACAGAATTTCATTCTTGTTTACGGCTGAATAATAAAGAATTTTTTTTCTAGTACTGGGCTTTGAACTCCGGGTGTCCCACTTGCTAGGCAGGCGCTCTTACCACTTGAACCACTCCACCAGCCCTAAGAACTTTAATTTTCTCCTTGTCACGAGTCCAGCAATACTCTTTGTTCTTACTTAAAAAAAACCTGTAGGACACATTATAATTCACAAAGGACTGTCACTGTCACAGTCATCATCTTGACTCCCCGCCCCACCCATGAAGTCATCTCCTGTTGTGTGGAGTTGAGAACTGAGATCCTGCTAGGTTCTAGAAGTCACTGCGTGTGACATCAGGACCGCGTCTCTTGGTTGGCTTGGTGGCCCATTCCTGGGACATCTCTTCCCCCTCACAGTTCCTCTTTGTCCTTATGCCCGTGACCCTTTTACCTGCACATGTCTCCAGGGGAAAAGTGAATATGTCCTGTCCAGAGCTGGACTTAAACCCAGGGTTGCAGGTGCACGCGGTTCCGTAGATGCAGGAGGCATGCAGGGGGCAGGAACAAGTATTAACTGCAGGAGAGAGAGAAAGAGAGAGAGAAAGAGAGAGAGAGAGAGAGAGAGAGAGAGAGAGAGAGAGAGAGAGAGAGAGGAGTGTCACATCATAGGGTCCCAGACTCTCCATTTGTTGGGCAAATACCTGATAAAAACACAGGTGGCCCCACTGCTTTGGGCATGTGGCAAGGCAGAGCTTCTACCTCGTGATGATCTGTAATCGGAGAGTGGGGTGCAAGTGTGTGTGTGTGTATTTTGTTGGGGATCGAACCTGGGGCCTCGCACATGCTAGGCAAGAGCTCTGTCACTGAGCTACACCCTCAGCCCTGGCTTTGTGGGCCTCACTCACTGTTCCGTGTCCACACTGTGCCCAAATGTGGTTTGCAAAAACCAACAAATTAACAATCAAGCCAGGTGCTGGTGGCTCACGCCTGTCATCCCAGTACTCAGGAGGCAGAGAGCAGGAGGATCTCGGTTGGAGGCCAGCCTGGGCAAATAGTTCACGAGACCCTATCTTGAAAAAACCCATCACAAAAAATGGTTAGGGGCATGGCTCAAGTGGTAAAGGGCTGGCCTAGCAAGTGTGAGGTTCTGAGTTCAAACTCCAGTACCTCCAAAAAAAAAATCAAAAGATGAATAAGAAGCGATCCAAGTGGGACGTACTGATCACGCGTGCACACGCACACGCCTTCCCAAGTATTGCTCCCAGGACAATTTCTGTAGCCTCTTTGAGGGTGTGGGTGAGCCCAGGTCCAGTCTTGGTCCCCTCCTCCCTGGTCAGGCTCTGAGCACTCACCGGAGACATACTGAAACACAGCTTCCGGCAAGTTTAGCAGAAAGCAGAATCCTGCAACAGAAGGGGGCAGAAGGGACAGACATGAGGCAACAGAGAATGATTCCAGTACCCACCCCAAGGGCTGTGTATCAGTTAGCTCCTGCTGCGTAAGAAACATTCTGGCTGAAAACCACACGTCAGTTTGTTATCGCTCATGGTTCTGTGCCTTGGGAATGTGGGCTGAGCCCCGTTGTGTGGTTCTGGCCTGGGTCTCTCGGGTGGTTGGGTTCAGGCAGCGGCTGGGGCGGCAGCTGGCCTCCCGTGTAACCTTGGGGCCTCAGGTGCTTTGGGCCTCCTTCCACCATGGCAACCTCAGGCCTGTTTCTTCCACGGCCCCTCTGAACTCTAAGCCGAGTGTCCCAGCCACACCTCACCTTTCTGATCCGGCCTGGAGGTCACACAGCCTGCACAGACCTGAGGATGCTGGACACATGGACGGCTTTTCTTCTCTTCCTTTCCTCCTAAGCCCATTACTTGGATCAGTACACCTCACCTTTTTTTCGGTGGAACTGGTGATTAAACTCAGAGCCTTGTGCCTGAAGGAAGCACTTTACCACTTGAGCCACACCTCCAGCTGGCTTTGCTTTAGTCTGTTTTGAGATAGGGTCTTGCGCTTTTGCCTGGGCTGACCTCAGACTGTGATTCTCCTACATCCTCCTCCTAGTTAGCTGGGATTACAGGCATGTGCCACCATGCCTGACTTATTTTTTGAGATAGGGTTTCAATATCGTTTTGCCCAGGCTGGCCTCAGACCATGATCCTTCTATCTCTGTCTCTGAATGGCTGAAATTACAGGTATGAACCACCGTGTCTGACCATCCTTATCTTCTTTTCATTCCCTTATTATCTACTTATTTCTGGAATTACTGGCCACTTACAATGCTGATATTTAAAAGCTTTAACAGCAGGAATCAAAGAACCAGAACAGACACCGGAGGCCTCCTTTGATGTGCCAGGTGTTAAGCTTTTAGCTGCTGAAATGTGAGGGGAGGTCGTGGGGTTCCAGAGCAGGGTCAGGGTCCACAGGAGTTCCCCAGGGGCTACTTCTGGGCAGTGATAATTTACAAATGGTGTGGAAATATTCCAGTTTGAACACCAACCTAGTTGTCTGGTGTTCCCTGGCTGAAATTTAGCTCTTGTGACTGCAGCCTTGGTTCTGCCGTGAGAAGGTCAGTCCTGGTAACAGGTGGGAGGACGGTTGCTATGGTTTGAATGTTGAAGTTTAATCCTTATTGTGGGGAATTAAGACATATAACTTAATCTGACCATGGCATCTGAAGGTGAGACTTTTGGGAGATGATTAAGGATTGGTGAAGCCATAACTTCTGTCCCCCCGTGCAATGTCCTCCTCCACCGTGGGACTCTGAGAATCTTCTCCTCTCTCCAGCTAGAAGGACCTCACCAGATGTGGCCATTCAATCTTGAATTTAGCCTTCAGAATCAGGAGTTGCGCAGACTTCGTTCTTTTCTTTTGGTGCTGGGGATTGAAGCCAAGGCCTCATGCATGGTAGGCATGCATGCTACTTCCTGGGAGCCACACCCCAACCCCCAACCTTTGTTCTTTATAAATTGTCAGCCTGTGGCTCTCTGTTACAGTAATTGAAAATGGACCAGGGCAGGTGTAAATGAGGACGGGCAGGTTCTGTGCAGCTGAGATAAAGTTTAATGCCTGTGCAAGATAACAGTTGAGGGACTGAGAAAAGATCTGAGGTTGAGAATCCATAGGAGTTGGGGAAAGGGTGTCATGGCCGCCTGGGGGAGGCTCAGGGGAAGTAGATGTGGCAGTAGATGTGGCTCTGAAGGCTTTGGAGGAGCTGGACAATTTTTTTGGAGTAAAATGCAGCATGCCTTCTGGTGAAAACACTATTCCTTCCTGCCTGTGAACGAGCCAGTGGAACCTACCTTGCTCTCTGTCTTGGCCCTTTTTTACATTGCTGTGACACACTACCACAGGCTGGGAAATTTATAACGAACTGAAATTTATTTAACTCATGCTTTGAGAGGTTGGAAGGTCCAAGACTGAGTGGCTATGTCTGGCGAGGGACATTTTGCTGCATAGTGACACACCAGAGAGGGAAGAGGGCTGGACCCCTCCCTTATGGGCTGTCTTGTGATCAGGGCCTTGCTTTCCCTCTAGTGGGTCCCAGCTCTTAACACTGTTGCATGGGGAATTAAATTTCCAACACATGAACTTGGGGTGACACATCCAAACCATAGCACTTGATGACCTCTTCCTTCCCCATTTTAAAAATTTTGGTAACTATACCTAACACATAATCGGTCATCTTAATCCTTTGTAGTGTGCAGCTCAGGGGAACTTGAGACACTTGTGATGCCATGTGACCACTTCCACCTTTTGTTTCTTGCACAAAGGAAGCACCTCATAAAACCCAGTGAACGCCAGCCAACGCCACCATCTTGGGGACAACCGGGCTTCACCTGAGCCCGGCTCCTGGCATGGCTGATGCTCTTTGTCAGGGTCTGCAGGTCTGTGAGTCTGGGGACTGAGAGGGGAAGGTGTCCCTTCAGTGTGGGTGTCACCAACTGGTTGAGGGCTGGAATGATAGAAAAGGGCAGCAAAGGGCTTTCTTCCTCCTTCCCTTCCTCTCCCCCCACCTTTCTCTACGCCTGTCTCTTTACCTCTGTCTCACTTTGTCTGTCTGTCTCTCCTTCCTGACACCATGAGTGGATCATCTTAGCTCCACCATACCCTCCCTTCCTTCCTCCTCCTCCACCAGCCCAGATGCTGGTGACACACTTGTCCCCACCACAGTGCGGTGCTTTTTTCCTTTTTTTTGAACTCAGGGCCTTCACCTTGAGCCATTCTACCAGCCCTTTTTTGTGATGGGGTTTTTCAGAGACGGGATTTCAGGCTGGCTTTGAACCGTGATCCTCCTGATCTCTGCCTCCTGAGTAGCTGGGATTACAGGCGGGAACCACCGGCACTGAGTCTACAGCCCAAGTTCCAGCTCCTGATCTTGCTAACATGGCGCCTGCCCGACTCAAGCTTCCTGAAGCCATTAGGGTTGCAGATTGCCAGCGTGCTGGGTAGTGGGGCCCTCTGCTAACTCATTTTGTGGGTGAGGTGACAGGTCACCCTGGGATGCCAGCTCTGCAAACTTCCCTGTTTCCATGTGTGAAACTCAGTAATGGCATCACCTGCTTCCTGGACTTGCTGAGGGATGCAAACAGTGCTGACCAGCAGGAAAAACTCCACACACCACAGCTGCCTCAATTGTATTTGGACTAAAATCCTATCTTTTTGGCAGGACTTGCCTTTGAACTCAGGGCTTCACATTTGCTAGCCAGACGCTCTACCACTTGAGCCACAACTTCAGTCTATTTTGCTCTGGATATTCTGGAGATGGGGTCTCAAGAACTATTTGCCATGGCTGTCCTTGAACCAGTCCTCCTAATCTCAGTTTTCCAAGTAGGTGGGATTACAGGCATGAGCCACAGTGCCCAGTTTTTTTCTGTTGAGATGCTGTCACTTGAACTTTTTGCTGAGGCTAGAACCTCAGTCCTTCTCATCTCAGCCTCCCAAGTGGCTAGGATTATAGGCGTGAGCCACTGCACCTGGCTCTATTTTATCTTTTTTTTTTTTGTATTTGAAATGAAGTCTCTCCATGTTGCCCAGCCTGGTGTGGATCTCCTGGGCTCAAGTGATCCTCCTGCCTCAGTCTCCCCAGTAGCTGGGACTACAGGTGTGAACTTCCGTGCCTGGCCTATGAAGTCCTATTTTTCTTGATCTGGTGCTCCATCTATCATATGTGCTGGTTCCATCCTGTGATGTGGGCAGACTCGTGGATAACCAAAATTCACCAATAACACATCTTAGAACTGCCAGGATTCTGTTTATGGTTGTCAAAAAAAGGATACATCTTTTGGGGGCGTCTCTTACATTCCTGAACACCTCTTATAGATAGGGTGCTGAGCTAGGGCTGCCTATTGTTCCTGTTAGCTTGAGAAACTCTGTGGTCTGTCACCTGCTCGCTGAGCTAAATATTTGCAAGACTTCTCTTGGAGGCCATTTCTCAATAGACACAGCCTGCAATAGGGAGTGTAAGGAAGTTTTAGCCAGATGTTGGGCTAACGTAGGTGTTTAATAAAAGCTAGCTGTGACTGATAGTGTGTCTGTTGACGTTGTTGTTTGAGGTACAGCTAGAAGGGTGATAGGATTTCAGGGACAGGAAGTCACCTGTATAGGAAGCAGTGGCCACAGAGGGAGGAGAGAAATAGGGGGTCGCAGGTGGACTCTTGTAGGAGGAGCAGAATAGCCAAGATCTGGAACTGGATGGCTTGGGTTCGAATCCTGGCTCTGCCACTTACTAGCTATGTGACTTTGGAGAAATAAGATAACCTCTTTGTTTCTCAGTTTTCTCGTCTGTAAGAAGTCTCTCGAGACTTCCTCAAGGATTTAATGAGTAAGTGCAGATGACTTACTATGTGGTTACGTTCCAATAAATTCATCCTACGTTGAAAAAATCATGAGTTGAAAGTGCATTTAATAAATCTGACCTAGTGAACATCAGAGTTTAGCCTGGCTTATCTTTTTTTTTTCTGGCAGCACTGGGATTTGAACTCAGGGCCTCACACTTGCTAGGCAGGCGCTCTCCCACTTGACCCACTCTGTAGCCCTTTAAGCGTTAGTTATTTTTCAGCGAGGGTCTTGTGTTTCTGCCCAGGGTCGACCTCCAACTATGATCCTCCTATGTACACCTCCCACGTAGCTGGGATGACAGGTGTCTCACCACGCCTTGCATATTGATTGAGATGGGGTCTTGCTAACTTTTTGCCCACGCTGGTCTCAAACTTCTATATTCTCAATCTCTGCTTCCTGAGTAGCTGGGATTGCAAGCATGGGCCACTATGCCTGGCTAGCCCAGCCTATTTAAACATGCTCAGAACAGTTACATCAAGCTAGATCCGGGCAAAATAATCTAACAAAGCAGGTGTTGAACATCTCCTGCGATTGATGCAATACTGTACTGAACGTGAAAAACAGAATGGTCGTATTGGGTACACATTCATAAAACCGAAGAATGGTTAAGTCAGACTCGCATGAGCTGGGGGCCATCTCTCCAAGAAAGGTGCACAGTGAGTACTCAAAACCAGCGGTAGCTATGATTATTAACTCAGGGCCTCATGCATTCTGAGCGAGCTCCCTGCCACTGAGTCATGTCCCCAGGCTGGTTATTATTGTTATTGATATCCCTGGTCCAAGAAAAGGAGAAAGGAAAAAGGACATCAAGATCGCAAGGAAGTGATAGGTGTCAGAAGTGGCCAAGGTGGGGAGGATTTCAACAGGAAACCAAGCGGATGGCAGGGCTCCCTAGCTCACGCCTGTAATCCTAGCTACTCAGGAGACAGAGATCAGGAGGATCGAGGTTCAAAGCCAGTCTGGGTAAATTGTTTCCCTGTCTTGAAAAAACCCGTCACCCAAAAAAAGGGCTGGTGGAGTGACTCACTCAAGTGGTAGAGTGCCTGCCTAGCAACTGTGAGGGCCTGGGTTCAAACCCCAGCACCACCAAAAAATTTAAAGAAAGAGAAAGAAAGAAGGAAAACAAACCTGGTAAAAAGGAATACAAAAACCCTTAAGGAAAATTTTAGGAGTATTTGAGGTCATAGTTTGGTTGAGGAAGGAAGCCACAGCTAAGGGAAACAGGACACTATTCAAAGTGGAGAAGAAAGCAAAGAAGGACAAAAAACCCCCCAAAAACCCAGCTATTGTTGAAACAGTCCCTGATCAAGGGTAAGTGAAGTCATGGTCATTGTCATTGTCACACGTACCTGGAAGGAGTAGCAGCCCTTGCATGGCTTGGTGCAGGTGGCCTGGGGAGCAGGTGACACTCGCCAGCTCTGGATGCATCCTGTGCTGGAAGCCAGCACCTTCCCTCACGCAGGAGTGTCATGAGGACGGATGCGCACATGTGAAGTCAGCGACCCAAGGACTGCCATCTAGACGCTGAACTTCCCCTCTGTCGCCATCCAGCCCCTGCTTCTGCTTTCCTTTGTGTGTCTTCTTCCTTAGCTGAGCTGGGGACAGACCCCAGGGCCCGCACACGCTGGGCAAGCGCTCACCGTGGAGCCACCCAGCCTGCGTGCTGTTTCCTATTAGCTTATGGCAGGGGTTTTCACCACGGCATTTCCATTCCTGCATGTAAGGGATTTTTTGTTTTTACTGTTTTTTATTAGCTTACACAGAACGTGCCAGGGAATTTCACTGTGGTAATTCCAAATATGGGTACAGTGTATTTCGAACAAGGTCAAGTTCACCCCCCCACTGTAGTCTCTTAACACCCCTCCTCTTCTTTGCTTTATGAGTTCTGGTGAGTTTCACTATTCTTTCTATCTATCTGTCTATCTATCTATCTTTCTATGTTTGTATGTATCTATCTTTCTATCTATCATGTATCTATCCGTCTATTTTCTGTCTGTCCGTCTATCTATCTGCACAGTCCCTCCTACTACTTAAGTCTTTTTATCATCATCACTGTTTCGGGTCCAGATTCCACACATAAGCAAACCCGTACTATCTTTGACTTTTGTGACCTTGGCTGCTCTCGCTCAACCTGACAACATATTTTGATCATTTTCCTCCTCTGTTTGCTCTTTCTTACTCCTCTCCTTTTTCCCCTTTCTCCTTCCCCTTCCATTCCCTAGTGGTCCTCATTTTCATTTCATGACCTTGATTTTTATAACCCCTCCTAGTTTCCACCCATGTGGACACCCATGTGTCCTTGTGGGGCTGGCTTATTTCATGTAGCATGATGGTTTCCTCTTCCATCCATATGTCAGCAAATGACATGATTTCATTCTTCTTAAGGGGTTAGTAATACTCCATTGTGGATACACACTACATTTTCTTTATCCTTTCACTTACTGATGGGGACCTAGGTTAATTCCATTATTTGGCTGTTGTGATTGAGTGACAATAAACATGGGTGTGCGGGTATCTCTGTAATAAGCTGACTTTAATTCTTTCAGATGTATGCCTGGGAGTGCTGTAGCAGGATCATATGGTGGGTCTGTTTTTAATTTTTTGAGGCACCTCCACACTGATTTCCAGAGTGGTTGCAATACTTTATATTTCTACCAACAGCGAATAAGCGTTCCTTTCCTCTCTCTTCCTCACCAGCATTTGTTGTTGTTGTTTTTTAAAGTTTTTTTTTGGTGGCACTGGGGTTTGAACTCAGGGCTTCACCCTTGCAAAGCAGGCACTCTACTGCTTGAGCCACACCTCCAGTCCATTTTGCTCTCGTTAATTTGGAGATGGGCTCTTGGGAACTATTTGCCCAGGATGGTCTAGAAATAGGACCTTCCTGATCTCCACCTCCTAAGTAGCTAGGATTACAGGCGTGAGCCACAGCACCTGGCTACTTTGTTTTCTTGCTGATAGCCATTCTGATGGGTGAGATGGACTCTCATTGTAGTTTTGACTTGCATTTTTCTGATGGATAAGAATGCTGAACATTTTTAGATATATTTATTGTCTGTCTGTACTTCTTTCTTTGAAAATTGTCTGTTTGGTTTCATTGCCCACTTGTTGGTTGGAGTATGGGCTTTTTGTTGTTTATCTTGTGAGTCCTTTGTATATTCTAGATACTCTTCATGTCAGATTTTTCTCTGCATTTTCTGTACTTGGTTCCCTGTGTATGTTAGCTAGCTTTTCCATCACTGTGACAAAATATCTGAGAAAATCAACTTAAAAGAGGAAATATTTTATTTTGGCTTACAGTTTCAGTCCTTGGTCATTTGGCTTTGTTGTTACTGGGCCTGACAGAGAGAGAGGGAGAGAGAAAGAGAGAGAGAGAGAGGGAGAGAGAGAGAGAGAGAGAGAGAGAGAGAGAGAGAGAGAGAGAGAGAGAGAAACTGTCCTATATAGAATGGAGAGTCTAGTGGTCAAACCAGACAATTACAGATTACACTCGGCAGTACTAGGGTTTCAACCCTGTGGCCCTAAAGTGTATTCCAGGCTGGTCTTGAACTTGTGATCCTTCTGCCTCATCCTCCCCTTTGCCATGACCTACATAAATTACATTGGCATATGAGTTCTAGGGAGGACAGTCCAACCCTCAGCTAGTGGTGATAGGATCGGCGTCTGGTTGGGGATATTTTCCCTCTGTGTTTTGTAGATTGGAGGAGCAAGGATGGATATGAGGGGCCAGTTTGGAGAATAACCCAGGTCGAGCTGGCGCCCCATTGCAAATCCTCTGACCATTTTCTTTCACAACGTTCTCAACCACGCAGCCAGAGTTATCTTTCGAAACAAGTCACACTACAGCACCCTTTGCCTTAGATCTGTCGGGCTGAGGCTCAGTGTAGAGCACTTGCTTAGCACGAGCAAGGCCCTGGGTTCTACCCCCAGCGCTGCAAACACCACACAAGTACTTTGAAGTTCTTCATTGCACCATTGCACTTAGGCTAAAAACGAGATTCCTTCCTGTGCTCAGTAATCCCCACATGACTTTTCTTCAGCTACATCTTTTGACCTCATTAGCTACGTCTCTCCCTTGCCTCCTCTGCATTGGCCACAGTGGTCTTTGTTTCTTGAACACATGAAGCTATTTTCGGCTTCAGGGCCTTTGCACATGCTTTTCTCTTTAATAGTTGCATATTAAGGGCTGGGGGTGTAGCTCAGTGGTAGTGTGAGGTCCACCCCAGGGCCACAAAAAGTCATGTAGGGTCCCCAGTTTCCTGACTTTTCTCTGCCCTAAGGAATAGAGAGCAACTTGACAGGTCTGTGATGCAGCTAGCTGCATGTTTCCTCCTGCAGCCTTGATTCCAAGCTGAGCGGTGAATGTTCCCAGGCGCTGATGAAGATGCTCTCTCTGCCAGCCCCTCACACTCCTGGAATTGCTGGCACACTCCTGCCTCTGGGCCTTTGCCCTTGCTGTTCCTTCTGCCTGCACGCTTTCTCCCAGATAACCTGTGTGCCAACCTACGTCTTATCCTCTCAGCTCCAGCCATGGCTTAAATGTCTCCTTTTGAGTAAGGTCTTCACTGACTGCCCTAAACACACACACACACACACACCATGAAACCAGAGTTTTGGACCCAAGGCTCAAAATCCTGAGATTCTGTGTGCCAGGTCCAGCCACCCACCCCTAAAGGCCAAATAAAGTCATGTGAAGGCAGAGAAAGGAAGTTTATCACACAGCTGAGGTCATGCCATAGAAGAGGCAGAGTAAGCACTCAGCTCGTCCTCAGCCATCTTCAAGTGACAGACATGGCTACAAGTTTAAGTAGACAAAAGAACGAGGGGCAGGGACACACGTATGCACAGTTACGCAGCCCCAGTCTCTGGTGTGGTTTGGTTGGTCTCACGACTGGTGGAGCCAGCAGTCTCGGTCAGCCAGGAGGTCTGGTCCAGTTCTGGGAAGTTACCAGTCCCTTGTCATAAAGATGTTACCAGTCCTGTCCTTTCTGGAATCCAAGGTGATTGTAAAGTGACTATAAAGAGAATGGCTTAGAGCAAAGACAGATACAAAATGGAGGCAGGGATGCCAAGCTTGTCTAGTGCTATTAGTTAATTCATGGGCCCAAGGAGTCAGGGCTTTTCAGCAACAGCAGTTTGAGCGCCTCTTGCAACCACACACATGGGTACACACACACCACCCCTTTTGCTCGGCCATTTCTAGTTGTTTCCCTCCACCTCCTAATATACGAGCCTTTATCTTTCTTTCCTTTGCTTGCTGTGTCTCCCCTGCTCCACTGGCTAGGACTTTTGTCTGGTTTATTCACTGTTGAATAAACAGTGCCCAAGCCTCACCTGGGGTCTGGCACATAGAACTTGCTCAGCAAAATTGATGCTAGAGAACAAATGGACGAAGTTTAGCACAGAGCGTATTTAATCAGACACTACAAGTTCCCAAGCAGCTCCTGAGTGGTGGTCAGCAGCTCCTCGCCTAACCTGGAGGTGTCCACAGAACTGAGACCACCAGCCAACTTCCATCCCCCCAGGAAGTGCTGCTCCATTCTAGGCCCAGGATCAAATGGGAGCACAACAAAGATCTCTGTTCTTGTAGAATCTTTTTCTCTCTTTTCCTTCCTTCCTCCTTCCTTCCTTCCCTCTCCCCTCCTTCCCTCTTTCCTTCTCTCCCTTCCTTCCTCCTTCCTTTCCCTCCCTCTCTTCCCTTCTTTCTTTGCATATGCTGTTCCCAGGTAGAGGGAACAGTATATGAAAAGAAAAAGAAGATTCTACAAGAATCTTTCTGTCCACCCTCTAATATTTCTTCCCAAGTAGCATTCATTCCAGCCCCACAAATAGCTTCATGACGTGGGTTGGTCTCAGCTCAGGTTGCCCAGAAGCAGATCCCCAGGTAGGGGATTCCACAGGAGTCGGTGGGACAGAGATTGGGACACACATAGATTGTTGGGGGGACAGACCTTGGGGCGCATGCAATGGGGGAGGGGACGGGAGGTGGGTTGTCCATGATTGGTGGAGGGGTACCGGTTGGGATGCACGTCTTTTTTTGGGGGTAGGGGCTGAGATGCACGTGATCTTGGGGTAGGATGGGTGTTGGCAGGTATGTGGGGTTTTTTTTTGGGGGGGGAATGGGGTTGGGACATACATGGTTTGCTGGGGGTTGGATAGGCGTTGAGATGCAGTGACCTGTGGGGAGATGGGGAGGGGCTGGGATTCCTGTGAGTCTGGAGGAGTTGCCTTGGGATGCACATGACTTTTTTTTTTGAGGGGAGCAGGGGCTGGGATGCACTGTCTTTTTTGGGGGCTGTGAGAGTTGGGGGGAGCGAGCGATGGGCGACGATGTTTTGGGAGCAGAGGTCGGGGCGCACGTGACATGCGCATAGGCCAGTGAGAGCAGGTGCACAGATTGGTGGGGTCCCCTCAGGGAGGGGGACCGGGACGGCGGCTGGGGCGGGAGGAAGAGGGGCGTCAGCATGCGGCCGGCTCAGGCCACGCCCCCTGGAGCTGCGCAGTGCGCGCCGAGAGACGCCGATCCATCTCCAGGCAACGCCCTACACAGGCGTCTCCGCCAGCCAATCAGCGGCCGGGGCCGGCCCTGGGGGCGGGGCCCGGGCTGCACCTGTCGGCCCATCAGGCAGAGCCCCGAGCGGCCGCGGCTGGAACCTCTCTGTGGATGAGGCTAAACCGTGCCTCGAACGTTACTGCAAAAATGTCGCTGTCACTTCCTCTTCATTTGAAAGTCTTTGAAACAATAATGTTTCCCCATGAGACTTGTTGCTTCACCAGAGGATAAAGATGGGGGTGGGTAGCTTCCACGTGATCCTTGATTTTCAACTGTTTTTTTTCTTTTGCAGTACTGGATTTTGAACTCTGGCCCTCACACTTGCTAGGCAGGTGCTCTACCTCGTGAGCCACGCCACCAGCCCTTTTTGCTTTAGTTATTTTTCAGATAGAGTTTTGCATTTTTGTCCCGGGTTGGCCTGGGCCCTGGATCCTCTTCCATATGCCTCCCAAGAAGCTGGGATTACAGCAATGAACCACCATGCCCGGCTTATTTGTTGAGATGGGGGTCTGGCCTTGAATTGCGATCCTCCAGATCTCCCTACCTTAGTAGCTGCGATTACAGGTTTGGCTTAAAAAATTTAGTTGACAAATAATTGTATACATTTAGGCGTCCAAGGTGATGTTTTGACATGTGTATACGTGTACAATGATTGTATTAAACTAACATATTCATTACTGCACTTTTTTTATAGTGAGAACATTGAAAATCTATTTTAAAGCAATTTTGAAATACACAATACATGATTTAACCATGGTTACCCTGCTGTGCAGATCTTTAAAACTTATTCCTACAACAATTTTTTATCTATTTAAAAATTACGGAATGGGGGCGTGGCTCAAATGGTAGAGCAACTGCCTAGCAAGTGTGAGGCCCTGAGTTCAAATCCCAATATCGTCAAAAACAAAGCAAAAAACAAAACAAAACCCCAAAAGAGTCCAAAGGCTTCCAACACATTAAAATTATAAATATTTAAGGGGATGAAAATTCTAGTTAATACGGTATCTACATGTATCATATTATAACCCATAAATACGAGCAAATGTCAGTTAAAAATAAAGGACAGACCTCCCCTCCCAAACTTCCTCTTCTGGTCTAGAGAGGGCTCAGTCTTTGCCCCATGCTGCCACCTTCTGGTCTGATTAAGATTTAATGCCTCTTTTTAAATAGCAAATTAATCGTGCAAAAGGGCTTCACGGTGGTATTTCTGTGCACGCATATAATGTGCTTCGATCAAATCCACCCCCGTTTCCTCCATCTTACCCCCATGGACAGTGCTCCCTGCCCCCCGAGGTTTACGGTTGAAGATTCACACGTTGGCTTTGTGCAACAGGAAGTGTGGTGAAGGTCTAAATCTTGGGCAGGAAGAGCTGAGACAAATCCCACGGAACTGTTAACGAGTGCTTTTCAAACGTCACCTGAAGTCCATTTTCACCTTCTCTCCACGCTTGGACATTCAGGTCCAAAGATTCTCATTTAGTGACTAGTTTATGCGAAAGGGAGTTTTCCCCCATCGACACCGTCCTCACACTTATTGGTCAGGTGTGTATCCTGTCACCCAGCCATCTGTGCACCCACCAGTCCAACCATCCACTAGTTCTTCCGTCTGTCCGTCCATCTATCCATCCATCCATCACCCACCCACCCACCCATTCAAGTTCAACATTGACTCACTGCTCGGCGTTGAGTAGATTTATTTTTATTTACTTTTTTGGTAGAACTGGGATTTGAACTCAGAGCCTCATACTTGCTAGACAGGGGTTCTACCCCTTGGGCCATTTATCCACCAGCCCCTTTTCGCATTGTGTATTTTTGAGATAGTGTGTTGCATGGCTGGCCTCAAACCTCAATTGTCCCGATCTCTAGTCTCTTGAGTTGCTAGGATTACAGGCATGAGCCACCGGTCCCCACTCAATATTTCCTCATATTCAAGTTGGGGTTAATTTTGCTAGTCCATTTATTCTTTCTAGTTTACTGAGGTGCTGACAAACACTGTTTATGTTGAAGGTTTATGTGGTTGTTGATGTACACACATACTGTGAAATGGTCATCATAACCATCGTCTCACATAATTAGCATATTTTTGTGTTGAGAACACTCAAGATCTACCCTCTTGGCAAATTTCATTTGCACTGTGCAGTACACTAATGTTGACTGTAGTCACCACACCGCAGTTCAATGTCCAGAACACACGCATCTCCCACAACGGGACCTTTGCACTCTGACGGCATCTCCGCTTATCCCTCCCTCCTGACACTGGTGACAACCACTCTGCTCTCCACTTGTATCAGTTGGACTACTTTACCTTCTGCATGTAAGTGAGCTCCTGCAGGTATTCGTCTTTCTTTGTCTGGCATATTTCACTTACCAGGATGTCCTCCAGGTCCATCTGTATTGTCACAAATGACAGCATCTCCTTTTTAAAGGCTCAACTATATTCCATTGCATGCCTGTTTCTCTGAACCCCTCACGTTTTCTTTATCTGTTTATCTGTCAAGACACTAAGGTTGTTTCTGTAGCTTAGCTATTGTAAATAATGCTGCAATGGACATGGAGTGCAAATGGCTTTTTTTTTTTTTTGGTGGCATTGGGGTTTGAACTCAGAGCCTCACGCTTGCTAGGCAGGTGCTCTACCACTTGAGCCACTCCTCTTTTATGTTTTACTTTTCAGATACGGTTGGATCAGCCCGGACTATGATCTTCCTACCCACCACCTCCTGTGTATTTGGGACCACAGGCACTCATCACTAAGTCTGGCTTATTCATTGAGATAGGGTCTCACTTTTTGCCTTTGCTGTCTTTGAACCATGATTCTTCCACTCTCTGCCTCCTGAGTGGCTGGGATTACATTTCTGGCCAGATGTCTCTTCTTCCTATTGATTTTATTTCCCTTGGATACATACCCAGAAATGGGGTGTTGGACTGAATATTGGTTTTAAGTTCTTTGGGGCACTGCTATGTGGTTTTCCATAATGGCCAGGCCAATTTACATCCCCTCAACAAGGTACACGGGCTCTCTTTTCTCTACATCCCACCAACACTTGTTTTGACATTTTCATAGTGGCCATTGTGACAGGTGTGATGCGGTATCTCACTGTGGGTTTAATTTGCATTTTCTTGATGGTTTTAGTGTTAGCCATTTGTACTTTTCAGAAATGTCTATTTAGGCCCTTCTGCTGTTTTTTTTTTTTTTTTTTTTTTTTGCCGTGCTGGGGATTGAACCAGGACCTGTGAATGCTTGCTAAGTGCTCTGCCACTAAGAGACACCCCAGCCCCTTCCATCTGCCCCCATATGTGTATCTACAGAGAGAAGGCTGGCAGAGCAAGTGGACTATTGTCTTTTTTTTTCCCCATGGGATTGGGGTTTGAACTCAGGACTTTGCCTTGAAAAGCAGCTGCTCTACCACTTGAGCCATACCTCCAGTCCATTTTGCTCTGGTTATTTTGGAGATGGGGGGGGTCTTGTGATCTATTTGCCTGGGCTAGTCTCAAACTGTGATCTTCCTGATCTCAGCCTTCTGAGTAGCTGGAATTACAGGCGTGAGCCACCTGTGCTCACCCAGTGTTTTCACTTCATCACATCTTGTTCTTCGCACTCTAGAAGGCACATCTTGTCTTTCTTACAGCACAGCTTTGGCTCCACCACCAGGTGACACACCCCAGGAATCCCCAATCTAGCAGAATGGGAGGCAAGGATTTCATGACACCTGTGCTGGTGGGGGTAGCAGCAGCTCTGTGAGGTTTCACTGTGAGACCAGTGCAGAGCATCAGGAGTCAGCATCCAGGACTGAGGGCTGGCCACATCAGGGTATGGGCTGTTGGGACCATGCTTGTCACCTGGCAATTACCTTAGTGCAATGACAGCTGCAGCTACACTGCTAGGGCTTGGATTTGGTTTGTCTTGCAAGGGTTCATGTGCTGGAAGCTTGGTCCCCAGCATAATGTTAAGGGCTGATGGAGGGTCAGGAAGGTAGCTTGGTGGTTCAGTACTTGTCCAGCATGTAACAGGCCCTGATTTTATTCTCTGGCACTGAATAAAGAAATAAAGGAAAAAAGAGGTCATGGGACCTTTAAGAGGCGGGTCCTACTGGGAGGTCCCAATATCGGCCCCTCCCCTTCTCCCACTTCCCCTCTTGCTATGTGATCACCTTAGGTGATGCAGCTAGGGAGTCCCTTGCCAGAGCCAGTGCCATGCCACTTGAACTTTCAGCCTCTCCAGCTTTGAGTTAAATAAGCTCTCTCTCTCTCTTTTAAAAACAACCACCCAGCTTGAAGTATTTCATTATAGTTATAGAAAATGGGTTAACACATACATTATCAGGCAAGCCATGCCTGAGGTCACAGAGCCAGGTCTCACTCACCTTTGTCACCCTAGGTGTTTAAAGAAAAAGTATAACACACTGTGCTTGATATCTACAGAACATCAGGGAATTAGTGACAGTGGGTGTATTTGGGGAAGGAAAATGAGTCGGAGTAAGAACCCCCATTTGAACTTTTTCTATATGGTTACATAACTAATATATAAAAAGAGTCAGATCTTGCATGTTTTGTCTTGGACAGATTCACACATCTTATTTCTAGTGAGAAAGGCAAGCTGTAGATGAAACACAATAAACTCCAATTTTTAATATAAATTAGGGAGACTGGAAAAAAACAACCTAGGTGCAGGTATGTTTTTGTAGGGCATTGGACGAAGCCAGCGGAGCAAAGGGTAAGGGTGTGAGAAGAACCTGATCTGCTAGTGAGCCCCGCCCACCGCCCGCAGCCCCGCCCTTTGAACATAGACCACGCCCCCACCACCTTAAACCCTGCCCATCAGCTATAGGCTCCGCCCCCTACTCCGCCATCCAGGCCGTGTCGCACCCCACTCTAGAGCCTAACCTCAACCTCTGGGGAAGAAAACTAGAATTTCTCCTCCGTGCGTGGATGAAATAGGGGTCAGTTCTCCCGCCGCGGCCTAAGCCATCTCAGTGGTTCGGAGACCGGAGGTCCAAGCACTTCCGCTTCCGGTGGCCCAAGACCGGAAGCGGAAGTACGTGTGCGGCTGTGGCTGGCGGACGCGCAACTGCGTGGGTCGCTGCGGTGGGAGTGTTGTCGGCCGGTGTGCAGGTGTGGCCCGGCCCCTGGGTTAGGAGGGGACGGCCTGGCTGACGTGGGGAGGGATCGGAGGGACAAGGACAGCCCCAGCGTGTGGGCTGAGACGCTTCCTTCCTGGGGTCGTCCTGGGGCCGGGGTGCGGGCCTCACGGCTCGGGTCCTGCAGCTGGGCGCCCCAGCTCTGTCGCTTAGTCCTCGTGCACCCCGAGTCTGGGCACACGATAGTTATCCTTGGAGGAGGAGATCCCGAAGTTCAGTGCAGGTCCCGAGGCTCAGGAATGACGGGACACCCTGCCCCCTTCTTCACCTTGTACCCGGATTTATAGGAAAAGTGACGCCCTCACCTCCCTGAAGCAAGATAATGATGTGTTAGCGTTCACGTTTTATTTCATACGATGTTTAATACGATCTAGCTTTGGAGCGGGGAAGTTATCTCTGGCTCAGCATGTGCAAATCGGTTTGAGTGATTTGTCCAAATTTATTTAAAAAAATTGAAGGGGTGAATTAGATGTCACAGTTCTTTTGGTGACTGACAATTTGTAGTCCTTTAGTTTAAGATCTGTTCTTTTTAAAGCTTTGATTCTGTTTTCCTTTCTCTTCCTTCTTTTCTGTATTCCATTCTGTTTTTCCTTTCAGGATTCTCATGCTTGCTAGGCAGGTACCTGACAGCCCCAACCCTTTGTCTTTTTTGTCTCTTGTACAGGTAGATTTCATTGTGACATTTACATATGTACTTACAATGAGTCTTAATTAGATTCACCCCCTCCATCTTTTTCTCTTATCACCCCTCCACCTTCTTAGAATAAGCTCTTTCTTCTTTTAAGTGAGCATTTAATGTGACTTTTACTTTGGCTGTGGACATTTTTTTTTTTCCACTGTGAGGTGAGGGCAGCTTAGGAAAGACATTTCTCAGCTGCACCACAAATATTATCAAGAAAAGATGAGGTTCTTCGATCTTTCAAGTCAACTCCAGTGGTTACCTCAAACTTGTGACCAGTGATTACCTCAAACTTGTGAATCAAATCTTCAAAACATACAGGACTCCCTGAAAAAAGATATGTTTGTTAGTTACAGAAATTGAAATTGAGCTGGCCATAAGTGGGATGTCTCTTTTACTGAAAGGATTAAAGCTTTACTTTTACTGAGAAATGGGGAAAAATTAACTCTGGAGGAAAATTAAGCATCTGATACGGGTTTTCTGAGTGAGGGTAGGAGGACAGCTTGGTGCCCTGCTTCCTCGCTCATCCCTTCTTTCACCTTCATCTCTTATTGCAGGTGGAACACCTCCTGAGACCTCGAACCCTGGCACCACTGTCATGGTGAGGATGGTGGGGGTCCTGGTGCTTGGGGTGGGTGGATAGGCTCTTTCTCCCTAACTGAGGGAGAAGAGGCAGGGGGCATATGGAGTATCCTCATTCCTGCCCCAGGGGACCTGGGACATCTTTCTGTGCATGACCTCTAGAAGGGACTGCTATGGGAAGAGGGTCCCACAGCACAGTCCTCTAGGACAATCCTTGTTACATCTGTGAGACCTGTGGAAAACACTTTACGTTATTTAAGTTTCAGTAAAATTAGATGCTGCTTTTCAGTTGCCTGCAACGCGTTTCTGAAGCACTCTGCAGCCACACGTTGTGCCAGTGCTGGACAGCACAGCTGGACATTCCCTTCAGCACACAGTGAGGCTTCAGAGAATTCTGAAGTTAGCACAGGTTGTTTCCCAGACACAGGGGAACCCTAGTTTAACAGGGAGGAAAATCCTTTTTGTATTTGTGGCTTCACTTTCTGGGGTTGGTTTTTGTTACTGGTGGTCAATAGGGTGGGTGAGTATAGTATAATGAGAGAGAGAAAGACATACAGACAGACATTGACATAATGTTTATTGTAGTGTATTGTTAAATTTGTCCTATTTTATTGTCAGTCTCTTACTGTGCCTAGTTGCTTAGTGAACCTTAACCCCGGGTATAAGTGTGTAGGGAACAGCATAGTGCACATGGGTTTGGTGCTGTCTGTGGTACCAGGCGTCTGTGGGGGGCTTGGAATGTATCCCCTGCAGATGAGGGGATTTGGGTAGGGTTCTAGGGACTTTACAGAGAGTCAGAAGTGCAGCCCAGACTTGTGATGCCACCAAGAAGGCATTTAGGAAAAACTCTTAAGCTGGGCAGGACAAGCGCTGCCATCATCGGTCAGCAGAGTTACAGAGAGCCGGACCTCCACGTGAAGGGTTTTGCGAATGAGAGAAGAAAGTGAGCATCTCTGGCCACTGTGGCAACGGCTCAGTTGTGTTGTAGAATAGCCGTAGGTGATGTGGCGCACACAGATGTGTCTGGGTGCCAGTGAGACTTGGATGGCTCTGGGTGTGGCGGCACTCGGGAGGCTGAAGCAGGACCGTGACTTCGGGGCCATCTTGGGCTATATGGTGACATCCTGTCACAAGAAACAGAAAACAAAAATGAAACGAACCCTCTCCCCAAACAAAACACACCTATGTAGCAAGCCTGGGGCCCTGAGTGCAAACCCCAGTACTGCTAAAAACCCAAACCAAAACTTAAACTAAAACAACGACAATAACAATGAACACAAAATAAAGCAAAACAAAACAGGTGGTAGGCCGGACCTGCGGTCACCTTGCTTGGGATCTTCTTGCTCCGCTGATAGCCAGTTGTTCCTGACAGTGGTAGGCAGTCTTTGCTGAAGCAGAACATGTGCCTTTTTAGGAACCTGTCACCTTTGAGGCTGTGGCTGTGGGGCTGTCCCAGGAGTGGGCGCAGCTGGGTGGTGTGCAGAGGAACCCGTGTAGTTTCGTAATAGCAGACAACCATAGGGTGGCAGCATCCAGGGGTAAGGCTTGTGTCTCACAGCTCCTTGCTGCATGTATGTGCCACATACTTCAGTTCCTGCTATCTGGACAAGACAGATGTCATTTCAGCCCCATGTGTCTGTCTCGTGTGGATGGCATTGGCATGGTGGGATTGCAGGCAGATGAGGTAACCTGGCAACACAGGAAGCCAGAGGGATTCAGGGGCGAGGCTCACTCATTTCATAACAACCTGCTCTCGCAGTGCTAATCAGGCTTTTGTGAGAACCACGTTAACGTCTTCCAAAGGCATGCTCCCAGTGGCCTAATCACTTTGGACTAGGCCCCATGTTTTAAAGGTTTCACCGTCTTTCACCATCACCATACAGGAGCCTGAGCTTCGACCGTGTCATCCTGTGGCAAACCATATTTAAACCACAGCAGGGTCCTTGGGAAGGAACTTCAGTTTGCTTAAGGCCGGGCACGATCACTTTGCTTCCCACCATACTTGCTCAGTGTCCCCACCTGAAGCTCAGGGAGAGGCCAGGCCCCGGGTGAACTCATTTTCCTCTGCAAGTCCTCCGGTGCTCGTCTCCGGGTTTTCTCCATGAACAGGGAGTCCATCGTGCAAACCTTATCTGCCCTCTCACTCGGGGCCCAGAGCAGAGCCAGGGCAGCAGGGCGAGGGCTGCTCCAGGACTACCCGGCGAGGGGGTGTGCCTGGGGTAGTGCTACTCTCAGTGTGCTAGCGGGCCCTGCACTTGGAGGGGACTTTGAGGCTGTAGGGGACATTTCCAGGGTCCTTTAGATTCTCTTCTGTTATCACCTGCCAGCTCTTCTCTCTCACTTTCCTTTGGTCTCACAAGAACATCTGTTGTAATTTCTTTGTCCTAAAAAGTTGACAAGTGCTTCACGTACCATAAACTTCTCCTTTAAAATGTTCAGTTCAGTGGCTCTTAGGATCATCACAAAGTTGTGTAGTTATCACTTCTGTTTAATTCCAAATGTTTTCTATGGATGTTTTGTTTGGTGATGGTGGGGTTTGAACTCAGGGTCTTGTGCTTGTAGACAAGTGCTCTTCCCTTGAGTCACATTTATAGCCCAGAACATTTCATTGTCCCCAAAGAAACCTCATTCACATGAGCAGTCTCTCTCTGTTCCCCCTCCTCCAGCCCTAATAGCACTCTGTCACAGAGCCACATCCCCAGTCTTTTGCTTTCCATTTGTTTTTCAGCTGGGGTCTCATGCTAACTTGGTCCCATCTGGCCTCAAACCCACATCTGTCTGCCTCCTTGTGATGACGGGTGTTTGCCACCATGCTTGGCCCTTCTATTTTCTCTGTTGCATTTGCCTCTTCTGGACATTTCATATGAATGGAACTACATGTAGCTTTTGATACCAGTCTTCTTTCCCTTAGCATAGTTGTTCTCAAGATTCGTCCACAGTGGTGCATGAATCAGAACTTCACTCCTTTTTCAGGCAGAATCACACTCCATTGTACAGACATGCACATTTTGCTTATCCATCCATCAGTTGATGGACATCAGATTGCTCCTACTTTTTGGCTTGTCTTAGCCCATTTTCTGTTGCTATAACAAAATACTACTGGTATTGTATAAAGAAAAGAGGTAGATTCAGCCCACCATCCTGCTGGCTGGAAAATCCACACTGTCCTGCTGTGCGTCTCCATGGCTGCATCACGACACAGTGAAGCAGAATGGGAGACAGCTGCTTGTGGATGGGGCAGATGTGTAGGGGGACTGGCTTTATATCACCCTGCTCTCCTGTGAGACCCAAGCTACCACAGGACACCAGCATCAACCCACTCATGAGGACAGGCACCTGTGACCTAATTTCCACTGTGCCCTTCCTCTCACGGTGTTCCTACCTCAGTAGGAGGTTGTCACAGTGGGAGCCAGACATCCCACGTGTGAGCCTTGGGGACACACAGCATATCCAGGCCATGGCCTGACTCCTAAGAATATGCCACCATAAACACTTGTGTGCAGAATCTTCTGTGGTCTTGGGTATAGACTTTGGAGTGGAATTGCTGGGTCCTGTGGTAAGTCTGTTTTTAACTTCTAGAGGACCAGCCACACTGCTTTCCAAGACAGGTGCACTGCTTTACATTCCCAGCAGTGGTGGCTGAAGGTTCTGACCTCCATGTCCTCATCCACACTCACCCAGCTCCTCTTTAGGCTATCCTTCTCTGTTTCTTTGGTGGTGGGGATGAAAGCCAGGGCCTCCTGCGTGCTGAGCAAATGCTGTACCCCTGAGCTGCACCTCTGGCCTGCTGGTTCCTCTTTATATTCGCCATTTCTGTGTGTGTTCTTCACTAGTTGCTTCTCACATGTTTTGCTCTTATCACCCCTTTTCTGGAAATATCTATCTCCATCCTCATGGACTTTAGGAAATTGCCTTATTTCCCCTGCTGAGGTCCTCACACAGCCCTACTCACACATGCCTTCTTCTCCTTCAGTATCTTCCCAACTTTAGGGTGAAGATTAAAAGAAAAATTCTATAAACATGCATGTATGCATGCACATGCACACAGTATAGCCAGCTCTCCATATGTTTTGCATCTGTACATTCAGCCAAACCTGGACTGAAAATATGCAGAAAGCATACAGACCTTGTTTCTTGTTCTGTTCCTGTCACAATAGAGCATAACAACTAGATATGCAGTATGTGCATTCTGTTATGTATTCAAGTCACCTAAGATGACTTAAGTCTACAGAAGGATGTGCACAGGTTCTGTGCAAACACTATGCCATTCTGTATGAGGGCCTCCAGCATATGGGGATTTTGGTGTCCAAGGGAGTCCTGGAACCAGCCCTGGTAGGTATATGTACGGGGTTGACCGTATGCATATTTCAATCATGATTTCTTTCTGAATGGGGTTAATTTCTCTTTGCTAATTCATTTTAGACTGGGGATCTCAGCTCAAACCCAAGGAGCTGGCCTTGATGTGGGATGTTTTGGAGGACGCGGGATCCAGTAACGTGCGGATGGTAAGATCCTATGCTTATTGGGTTCCCTGTGGCAGAGCAATTGAGGAGCCCGGGAGTTGGAATGCAGGACCAGAAACAGGAATTGTTTGAGGCAAGAGTAGCTGTGTCTGAGGGGAGCTCTGGCTTCTGAATGTGGGCAAATAGTGACAGTCACTCAAGATTCTTTCTGGAAGGTTCCCCAAAGTATCCATTTCCATCCATGTGAGCCAGGTGCTCACAGGTATGGTGTAGAATTTACTTCTCAACAGTGATGAGGAAAATTCCACCTTGTAGAGAAGCCACCTGGAAGTTATGAGGAGAAAGCCCCATGATAGAGTAGGCCACCCACTCACCTCAGAGAACCCCAGCCATCTATGCAAAGCACGTCATGAAAATGCCTGGTGAGGCTGTCCCCTGCATCTGCATCACTAGCCTCTTGTCAGGGTGACCTCCACCTAGAGCAGGAAGGGGTTGTGGAGGAGGTGGGTCTCAGTGTGAGACCTGGCAAGAGAGAGGCCACTTTGACTAGAGTGTGGAAGCCCTTGGGGCCCTACAGTGTGGAGAAGCCTCAGAGCCAGCCTGCACCACACCGGGTATGAGAAGATGCACGCTGAGCCCCTGTCCTCCCTTTGGCCCTGAGTTCCCTCCTCAAATCTGAACCCTTCCCAAGTGTGGGTTTCCATTTGTGAGGGTTGGCCAAAGGATGGAGTGAGGCACAGAGCCTGGCCTCACCCTCAAGCTGGGCCCACTTGATTCAGAACCTGGGGTTTCTCAGGGCTCTCACCTGCGCTCCTCTCCCTGTGCCATGGATCTGGGTCTGTGTCAGCCTGTCAGAGATGCCTCGCCCCGTGCTGGGGCTGGAGTGGTCAGGGTTGTCGAGGACAGTGTTCTGTTCCTTGATGGGGAAGCTTCCAGAATGGGAGGAGCCTCAGCCCTGCACAGCTGGCCAGGGCTCGCCCCTGCCTGGACACAGCAGGCCCCAGGGCAGCTGAGCTGCCTCTTCCTCTTTGGTTTACACTCTTGTTTTGGTTGAGAATGTCCTCCAGTCTCTGCTTTGGAAAGGTGGGTGGCTTTGGAGACAGTGTTTTCCTCAACATGCCAGGTTAAAGTGGCCTGCGCTGATGATGAAGTCACAATGACACCCCCTGCATTCTGTGCATCGTCATAGCGCCCCCGTTAGTGCTTGTGGATGAAGAAATGGGGACGCAGCTCCAGGCTCCACCATCCCTGTTGGTCATGTGTGGGAGGGAGACAGAATGAACCTGAGAGACGGGGGTCCTCTCTTGTGCAGGGTTCTGGCACTTTCTGTACATCCGCCTGCTCAGCCCAGCAGGCTCCTCTGTGTACCCTGAGCATAGGACGGGAGGTGGCTCTGCTGCATCCAATGTCTAGGAGGCAGCGGGCTCAGCATGCCCAGGAAGCGTAGAGGAGATCCAGTAGGGGATGCATTTGCAGACGCACAGCAGTGACAGAGCCGGCATGGAGCTGGGATTCCAGCTTAGGCCTGTGTCCAGGTAGTATCAAGTTCCATGGCTTGAGGATCACATACCTGCCACTGGTCTGACGGTGCCTGCCCTTCAGCTCTCTCATCAGGGCTGTGCCAGGTGCTGCTGACTCATCCCAGTCCTGAGCGTCCCGGTGTCCTGAGAAAAAGTGTCCAGGACAGGTAGGGTACTAGGGAGGGCAAGCAGCTGGACCCCAGCCCTGCCTTTCTGGGTGCATCCTTTCTCCCACCCCTGGCCCTGCTTCCTCCACGGCCTGGGAACCCATGGGACTGTGTGGGTCCCTCGAACTGAGGCTGCTGTGGACCCATGGCCAGGATGCTGAGTGACCTTACTGAGGTGGACAGAGTCTGGGGAAGGGATACTTTCAGCCACATCCTAAGCCTGCCCTGAGCAGATGGGGCGCCTTCCACCTGCCTTTGCCTTCCACCTTCCTGCAGGGACTTGCCACATGTGCCTCCCACCTTCCAGCCACCACCAAGTCCTCCACAGTATAACCCAGTCTAGCTGTTCCTCCATCCTGCCCAGAGACACATCAGCCCTCCACTCAGGCTGCTGTGGACATGGAGACCAGAGGGTCATTTTGTTCCAGGCCAAGCATCTTTGTTGAGGAAGCACTGTCAGTAAAGGAGAGTTCATATCCTCCCACTGTCTTGGTCTGTTTTCTGTTGGTAGAACAAAGTACCAGAGGTTAGGCACTTTATAAAGAAAATAGGTTTATTTAGCTTGCAGTTTTAGAGACTGAAAGTTCAAGATCGGTATCTGTTCATTCTCTGGTGGGGCCTCATGGTGATAGTGTACACAAGAGGGAGAGCGCCTGGTGAGACAGATAGGCAGCCAGAGATTCAGGGGTCACACTTGCTCTTTTACAACAGCCCGTGCTCACTCTTTAGTTCTCTCCAAGGCAGCACCCCAGTGACCTGATTATGTTGCGCTAAGCTCCACCTTTTATGGATTCCACCACCTCCCAACATTGCCACAGTAAGGGCTGGCTTCCAGGACAGGAACTGTGGGGACACAGCACATCCAAACCTGAGTCACCACAGGTTATTTCTGTGGATAACTTACTCCCCCATCTGTCAGTCAGCCTCTGTGCCCTCCTCCGTGCTCAGCCTGTGCCATTCGGTCGCCACCCCCACTCCCAGCCCAGAAATCTGCTGGCGCCTCTGTCTCCCCACGATGGTAAGGGTGCCCTTCCTGCACCACATCTGGGAGTTGACATTGCACCACAGCAACATGGCTGGTGTTTAAGGCACAGGCATGCCCCATCTCCTCACGCAAAATCAGTTAGGGTGAACAGGTGTGACAGGACCCCACAGCCGTGTGACTAATCTGTGACCCCTGTCCCTCTTTCCAGAGACTGACAGCGGCTGTGCAGAGTCAGAGGGTGGAGACACCATTGCCCACGCTGGGTCTCCCCATCCCAGGGGTGTCCAGGGCTTCTGGTGAGTGAGTCCTGGTGGGACATATGGCCAAGGGTGCTGGCGTCCTGTGTCTTGTTCATTTCCTGAGTGTGGGCACTGCAGGAAGCCCTCTCGTGGCATTTGCAAGTTCAGGGGAAGTACTTGTGAATGCTGATAGGCAGGGTTCTTTGCTGTTCTTGCTCGAAGATCTCTCTCTTAAGAAGGACCACAAATAATTTGAGGTTACCAAGTGTCACTTAGCTCGAGCCAGCCATCCATCAACATATGCATGCTTCAGAACAGCACTGCACCATAAATACATAACAATTCTCATTTGTCACTTAAAATAATTAAATAGCAAGTTAATTTAAAAAGGAAGAAATGGGGGACCCAGACCTCTGGGCAGCATTAATTCTTTTAACATTGAAAAGTAGTATTTTATTTCTTTTTATAAAGTTTATCAAGAGTAGTTTGAACAACATTAAATTCAAGTTTTTTCCTTTTTTTTGTGTTACTGGGGTTTGAACTCGGGGCCTACACCTTGAACTATGCCACCAACCCTTTTTTTTTTTTTGTGATGGATTTTTTCGAGATGGTCTTGAGAACTATCTGCCTGGGCTGGCTTTGAATCGAGATTCTCCTGATCTCTGCCTCCTGAGTAGCTAGGATTACAGGTGTGAACCACTGGTGCCTGGCTATACGCAGTTAGTTTGATTGTGAGTTATAGTTTAGTTTTACTAGAAATGGCCTATGTTTTTGTGGCCTGGGTTTAAAAAAAAAAAAAAAAGATTAAAAGCCCCATTTCCTGAGAATGCAGAAAAAACCTAATTCTAGCAAATGGCATTTTAGTATTAAAGGCAAGTTATGTGTTTCCTTCCATCTTACCTTCTAGTGAGAAAAATAAACTTTGTTTCTTAACAATTTCATCCAATCTTGTTTATTGGAATCTATAATACTGACAGGACATAATTCTTAGATTTGGATTATGTGTTGCTGTTTAGTTTATTTGTAGTACGTGTTGTGGGCTTGTCTTTCTCTCTCTCTCCCTCTCTCTGTCTCTCTCTCTCTCTCTCTCTCATACTTCTTAGACCTGCACTCTACTGACCTATGCCTGTGGTAATGTGGGTGCTGGGAAACTTTGCAAAGAGAACACTGACCCTTGCCCTGTGGAGCTTGAAGTCTGGCTGTGTTGTCAGGTTTTAAGTGATGGCAAGAATACAATGGAAGGATGTGACACAAAGACTTCATTTAGGGGAGTAGGGAGGAATTCCAGAAAAGGACAGATGTTTAAACTTAGACCGGGCACGTTGGCCCATGCCTGTGTCCCACCTATTCAGGAGGCTGAGCAGGAAGATTGCTGGAGCCTAGGGTTTTGAGGCCAGCCTGGTGACATAGTGATACCCCATCTCAAGATAGATAGATAGACAGACAGACAGATTAAAAAATAAACTTTGGCCAGGGTTTGTCATCTACAGTGCTCCTAACAGAATGTATCCTCTTGCAGTTCTGAAGGCCAGAAGCCCAAGGTCAAGGTGTCGGTTCCTCTGTCCTTGGCTTAGGCATGGCTGCCTTCTTGTGTTTTCAAGTGTCTTCCTTCTGCATGTGTCTGTGTTTGAAACTCCTCTTTTTATAAGGAAACCAGTCATACTGGATTAGGGCCCACCTTCTGCCTCATTTTAATTTATTTATTTCTCTATAAAGACTTCTACCCAAACATGGTTACATTCTAAGCCACTGGAGGTCTGGACTTCAACAGAGAGGTTTCTTTTGGGTGACATAATTCAGCCCGTAACACCTTCCCCTTGTCATAACCAGCCAAGATATCCCCAGATCTATGGACTGAATCATGTTTACTCCAAATTTATACCTGGAAGCCTTAACCCCCTCTCCCCTCCGCCTGTGTGACTGTTTGGAGACAGGAGAGGTGATTAAGGTTAAAGGTCAGAAGGCGGAGTCCTGATCTGATAGAACTGGCTTCTTGTAAGAAAAGGAAGAGCCACCAGAGGCCTCTGTTAGGTGAGGACGCAATGAGAATGTAGCCACTTGCAGGCCAGGAAGAGGGTCTTTAGAACCTGACCATGTGGCCCCCTTGCCCTCAGACTTCCCATCCCCAGAACTGTGAGAAGATAAATTTCTGTTGTGTAGGTCACCTATTCTATAGGATCTCACAATGACAGATTGGCACCAGACATGGCCAGATGTCCCTGGGGGTCAGTCACTGGCTTAGACTGTAATAGTCACTGTATATGTAGCTTGGCCAGGGTGGTAGCTGTTGAGAGAAAGTCTGGAGAGCGGATTTAGGCCTGGGAGCAGCATCTGTGAAGTCCCTTGTAGAGCAGAGTGTCGGGGCTTCGGGGACCTGTGTGCTGTGTGTAGGCAGCAGAGGGCAGAGGGCAGGGGGCAGAGGTGGAGGGTGGGCTCATGTCACTCAGGGCTCGAGTGACTGCTGGGAGGCCACTGGGAACCAGGGACGCCTTTAGCTGGCAATGCAAGTTATCTATGCTTTTTTCTCTTGCCGGTGTTGGGATCGACCTCAAGGCCTTCCGCTGCTAGGCACATGCCAGCCAGTGCCCAGCTCTGTGATTTTAATGGCGCCCTCTACCTAGGAGGAGGAGGGGTTTCAGGGAAGAGGATATGAGTGTGTGTGTGGGGGTAGAAGTGGGAAGGAAGATAATGGTGTAGACTTGGGGGTGATGTGGAGTAGGCCACCCCAGATCCAGTGATCTGGGAGCACTCATGGGGCTCAGCCTGCAGCCATGCTCATGGCTCTCACTTGTTACAGAATAGGAAACAGAGCCAGATGAGCAAAGGAAAAGGCCCTAGATATGGGCTTCCAGAACCTTCCACAGCACAGTCATACAGACATGCTAAACTACCCCATCACCCACTGTGACAGCATGCCATCGTGCCCACTCCGGAAGTTCAGTAGAGTGTCAGCACCCACAGTTTCCACTGGGGGTGGTCACGGAGACACCTCCTTCTTGTCTAGCACATATGTAAATTCTAGAAGCAAAGCAGGGTTCGGCATACACCATATTTTTGTACAAGCAGTTCAAGCAGAGTCAGCCCCTTCATCAGTTAGGGGCTGGAACCTTCCCCATATTCACAAGGGCTGACCTGTGAGCCGGCCTTCCTAAGGACAGGGTGAGGCCCACTGTGCCTGTTTTTGCACAGTAGGGAAGCGCGAGGTGATGTACGGTATATAGGCAGCTGGGTGGAGGTAATTTGGTGGTTTGCATATTTATTTACCAGGTGACAGCATGTGGGCTCCAGGCACAGCACGAGGGACAGGGTGATAAAAGAGAAGGCACCTAATCTTGTTCTTAGGAAGCCTGCAACTCAGTCAGGGCAACAGAAAATAAGCACCTATGGGAGTAAATGAATACCTGGTTCCAAATAGGTAAGAAGAAAGGAGAGGGTCCTGTGAGGGAAAAGAATAGAGAGGCTCTTTGTACTGAGGAGCAGACCTCAGAGGGGCAGTTAAGTGGATCCAGGAAATGACACTGAAGAGAATCCAGGAAGTGACATTGAAGTGGGTCAAAAAAGAAAAGGTGTTGTGTGGGTGTTAGTCCTAGCAGGGATGAGGGCCAGAAGGGAACCTGGGAGAGTGAGTACTGCATGTAGAGACACCAGCCTGAGTTTTACTTTTGGTGTTTTGATTAACCATTGGGGTCTGCACAGTATCAGAGAGGGTGAGATCTGTGATAAAAGGTAAGGATGGCTGTTAGTTCCCGAGATGGAGGGCATGGGAGGAGTGGGAGGCCCTCTGGTGACGGCCTTTCTGTGTCTCTCCTTAGCTTCCAGCATTGTGAGCAATTTGCCTGGGTTGGCTTTGAACCACGATCATCCTGATCTCTGCCTCCTGAGTAGCTAGGATTATAGGCTTAGCATCAACTCTTAATTGCAAAGTTCATCTAAATATTATCAACTCAAAAAGTCCCGCATCTCATCACATGGATCTTCTAATCAGCTGTGGGTGGTGCTCAAGGTGTGGTCCATAGGAGGGTAAATTCCTCTCCATGTGTGAACCCGTGAAGCCAGAAAACATCTCTTTCCAAAATACAATGGTGGGGCAGACATAGGAAAGATATTCCCGTTCCCAAAGGGGCAAGCTGGAAGGAATAGAGCGGTCATGGTCCTAGCCAAGTTGAGTATGCTCAAGTGCACTAATATGTGTGTGAAAACAGCATAATGGAAGCCACTCAAAACTGCTTCAAAAGGTGGGGGGGAAGGGAATCGAGAGAGTAATATAAAGGGGATGAACGTTGGTCAAAGCACATCATATGCAAATGTCACACTGAAGTCCCTTTGTATAATTAATTCATGCTGAAAAAAACAAAACCCCAGCAAAGCAAATTGTATGAGATTCCCAGGCCTGAGAATAACCGTCCACGGCTGAGGCCCTGTCCTCTGCATCTCAGCTTGGACATTTCATTCATGTTCCCTCAGGTAAATGGAGACGGTTGAGATGGGGTTGGGTATATGAGTCCGAGAGTTGATTTGGGTCTTGTTGGGTCAGTTCGGTAACTGCTGCCCAGAGAATGGGCAGTGTTGCCCATTGAGGCACAGCACCAAGAAGAAGAACGTCTTCACCACAGGGTCTCCAGACAGCCTGGTGGTCCGGGAGACTGAAAGGAGCCCTGGGAGGGGCTTCATAAAGGAAGGACTGATGACCGCATGTCAGCTGGATTCTTCACTATGGATTATGGGTGAAGGCCATTGGTGATCCTGGCTCAGAATTCATCCCTGGAATGGTGGGGTGGGCTCAGAGGTGTCATGGCCCACTGTAGTGAATAGACACTGGACAACAGCCATAGGGAAAAGTGTCTCCCCCTAAAACGTAGTCCTAACTACTTGTACCTGTGCATGTGGCCTTATTTGGAAATGGGGTCTTTGCAGATGAGGTCCCATTAAGAAGAGGTCATGATGGTGGCCCTAATGCAGTGGGACTGTGTCTTTCTAAGAAAGATAAATTCCACAAGGAGCCTCAGAGACAAGGCTGTGTGGAGGCAGAGGTTGGAGGGTGCAGCCACATAAAAGCTACGGAGCACAGGGGTCCTTGGGTGCCACCTGAAGCCAGGAAGAGGCAAGAGAGGGTGCTACTCAGAGTCTCAGAAGGAGAGTGACCCTGTTGCCACCTTGATTTTGGTCATCAAATCTTTAGAAGTGTGGGAGAACTTCCTGTGGTTTTAAGGTACTCACTTTGTGGTACTTTGGTATGGCAGCCCCAGGAAACCTACAGATGGGGTCAGGTTTACAAGCAGAAGGGGAGGGTGGCATCAGAAGGGAGAGGCAGGGGGATGAGGGATGAGTAGGGATCTCCTGCTCTTCTGTCACAGGCCAGGGAAGGCTGTGTGGCCTGGAGGGAGGGGTGGTGTTGACTTGAGGCAGGTGGGAAGTGTGGTTTCCCCTCAGGCAGACTTGCAGGGTGGTGGTGGCTTATCTGTGCCCTACTTATGGCAAGTCCTGGGACATTACCCCTGCAGAGTGGGAGGTGGTGAAGGGGCTGAGCAGCTAGGGAGGAAGAGCTGTCCCAAGGTGAGTCCAAGGGGTGGGGCAGTGGGGGAATAGGAGCTTTGGAGCCTGCTGGTGAGTTCTGATGATGTCTTCCAGGCTTTAGAATGAGGGGATGTCTGTGTGTGACTGTGTGTTTGTACACATCTGCATGTTATGTGTGTGCTGGACTATGTTCATACATGTGTGCAGGTTTGTGTGTATGCAGGCATGTCTCCATGTGCATGTGTTTGTCTTTACGAGTGTGTGGTGTTCATGTATGTCTGTGCTTATCTGTGCATGTGTGCACACATGTGTGTCCATCTCTGTGCTTGTGTGTGCTCCTGTGTGCACCCATATGTGTGTTGTTTGTGTCTGAGTGCACATATGTATACAATGTCATTCACAGTCAGGGTGGGCAGCCTCAGAGCCAGCAGCTCTGGACACTTGGCCTGGTACTGACCATCACCCCTCCTCTTTTCTCCCAGCTCTGCCTGCTCACAACGCCGCCTGGCTCCGAGAGGACAGCACAGAGGTAAAAGCCATGGCTCCTGGGTTGCAGACCACCTGTTCCCAGGTAAGTAGGAAATCCTTCCTGTTCTGAAAGAGCACTACTGTGCCCAGAGGCTGGACTTGCCCCTTCATGTGACCTGCTGGGCCTCCTTGAGTCTGTAAGGATGGCCTCTAGCCTACCAGGACCTGGGCCTTCTGCAGTGGGTGGGGTCAGCTAGGCAACAGCCCACCCTAGTGAGACCCCCAGGTTGCCGAGCAAGGGTGCGAGCTTGTCCTTGTTTCATGGTCTTTGCATTCTCACTAGGCAGGGTTCATATCATTTGCTAGGTTCCTCTCTTCTCTCCCTCTTCTCTCTTGCTTCTTGAGATGGGGGGTCTCACTGTAGAGCACAGGTTGGCTTTGAACTTCTGATCCTCCTGACTAGCTAGAATTACAGGTGTGGGTCACCCAGCCAGATCCCCAGATATTTCCCTCTTTCTTGTGGTAACTCAGGCCTGCTGCATGCAGGAGCTATGGTAAACCAGCCAGGGGCTTCTTTACTAGGTGGAGAGAGAAGACCCTTCATGAAGTAGAGGCCTTTGGTAAGAATTAGGGCTGCTTACTGCTGTTTTTTGGGGAGCACTAAGGAGATAGTGCTCTACTTCTTTTTCTTTATTTTTTTTTGTGGTGCTGGGGATGGAACCAGGGCCTGGCACCCTCTAGATGAGCCCTACCACTGGGTCACACCCCAGCTCCTGAGAGTTCTAATTCTAATGCCTGGACTGAGGGTCTGAAAACCCTCTGAATAGGGTCTCTCTTCCATGGCCTGGCAGCTCCACTGTCCTCTTGGGTTTTGGTGGGGCATCCCATGGCTGATCTAGGACAATTGTGTGTTTTAGGAAGCAGTCACTTTTGCAGATGTGGCCGTGGTGTTCAGCCCTGAAGAATGGGCATTTCTGGACTCTGCTCAGAGAAGCCTGTACAGAGACGTGATGCAGGAGAACTTCAGGAACCTGGCCTCCGTGGGTAAGGCTGTCTCCTTGCCTCCTCCACATGCTCATGAAACCCATCATGGGTTCCAGGAATTGTGCAGGTTTTGGAAAAATCAAGAGGTGAAGATCAGACAAGTCCTACTCCTCAGAGCCTTGCAGCCTTGTGGCCTCCCCAAGGGAAATGAAGATTTGTCCACTGTTCACTGTCTCTCCAGGATTGAAAGCTTCCAAGCTTTCAAGTGTGTTCCGAGCTGGGCACTGGGTTTGGGGCACCAGAAAGCCCCACTGTAGGTACTTTTCCCTCAGAATTCAGGCTCAGTCCATGCTCATGTTGCATTCCCATCTCCAGACCCCTAAAGACATTGGAGTACCAGCCTTAGTGTCACAGCCGGGTGCCAGCTTCCCACAGCATATGTCTTTCCCTGTCTCCAGATCAGCTGTGCAAACCCAATGTGCTGTCCCATTTGGAGCAAAGAGGAGAGCTGTGGGCCATCGATAGAGCAGTCTCCTCAGACACCTGTTCAGGTGAGGGCCAGGCAGACCAGGTGATTACGGGCTGTAGTAGGGAGGAGGAGAGGATGATGGGTAAGGTGTCAATGGGAAAACACTTCCAGCACTCTGAGAAGGCTGCTGGGTTGAGCTCGTTAGTAAATCCCAACCATTTTCCTCTGTTACTTCCCTCGGATGTCATGGACATACCTGTCCCATGTCCACTTCGTATTTAATATGTCTGTGTCTGTTTTATCCAGTTCCTCTCCCCTGTACAGTCTCGCTCATTCCCCCACCAGCAGAAAATCCCTTGTCAACAAGTTGCTGACCCTTTCTGTCCTTTGTACCATGATCACACAACTCCTCACATGGTTACATGCCTTAAAATGCCACTTTACTGGCTGCCACTCCACTTTTTGCAATTTCCTTATATATTTGTGATCAATATTTGAAAAAAAAAATCCATATGGGCCTTGCTTACTTTTTTTTGGTCATCTTGATCCCATGTTTTCTTTCTCTGTGCCTTTAAATTTTTACACTCCCACCAATCTCCTAATTCATTTCAGAACCTCAACTCATATCCCAGGAGTCAGTTCCTAGCCAAGGCATTTGTGCGGTGATTCCACCCATCGGCATGGAAAGGGTAAGATCCGCAGGGGATTATTCTCCGTCCTGCACGGCAGGAACGGCCGTCAGAAACGTGCCAGGAGGCTGAGAAAGGGTCACAGTCAAGTGGTGCTTACCCGGGGGTTTGGGGAAGGAGTGTGGATATCATGAGCTGGGGAAAACTGTACACATAAGACAAGGCTTGTGTGTCAGGGCCATGGTGTGCCGCGGTGAGAGGTCGAGCACTCCTGAAGTACATCCTCACGGAGTCCCCGCAAGTAACCATCTCCACAAATTGGACATTGGCATCTAGTATTTAAACCTGATTAATTCTAAACAGTCCACAAAAGCTGTGTCTAGAAGCCCCGTGAGAGTAATGAGCAGGACACTGACGGCAGCAGAGCGTCCTCCCTGTCCCTCCAGGACGAACCGTGGGAAGAAACAGCACAGAGTCCCCACAAGCCGAGGCGGTTCGGAGGGTCGGCCGCGCTAGCGTAATGCACTTAACAAAGCTTTGGCCTTCCCATTTCTCATCACCAGCCTCAGCCTCAGCCTCAGCCTCAGCCTCAGCCTGGAGAAGGCCGCTGCAAGTACAGTGACTCGGGGAACCCGGGGGGCGCGGGGCGTCCCCTCGACAGCAGGGAGCCCTTGTTTCGGTGCCAGAGAACTCAGGGTGCGGGGGCCCCACACGGACGTCAAGAGCGAGGACAGCGCTGCGAGGACAAGAGCTACGCGTGTGACAGGTGCGCGGATCTCTTCCCGCTTCGGGCGTTTCGGACCGTGGCGCGGCACGCGCGGACCCA